TATAATGGCAATCTAAATTCTGTTAAGATCCTCAGACCTGCTAAAAGAAGCATTTCCAGATGCTTCATGTTGTTTCTTCTGCTGAAGCAGATGTTTCAAAATATATGATTGCTGTCTTGCAAAGTTTGAGGGACACTTATCTCATTCTTGTCCACTATATGCAAAGGTACAGCCTACACTAAGATAGTCTGGCTTCAGAAACAGGGGACAACTATCCTTGTTCCGCTAAAAGTTTCTGTAAATTTTCTTATTACAGGCTAGTTGTCACCCTGCAGTGCGAGACAAAGCTAACTAGCCTCTTGTTGTAGAAGCTAGCTACAACAGATGCAAGACTGGTGTCTTCTAACTCTGGCAGTTAACAAAGCTATTAGGGGTTCATGTTTTCTATGATTGACACTTCATACAGCCTATAGTTGTACTAAGATTGCGTAGGACATCCAGAGGGTACGCTGTTTAAGCACAGCATCATCACAGCGACTATCCCGCTGAAAAATACTGTGCAAATGCTGGTTTCAAGAAATGGAGAAAATGCCAGAAATACGGAGAGCAATTTGGCATCAAATCTGCACAGTAGGGATGCGCAGCCACGTTGTCCATATACAGTCTATGGGTGTTTGATGACAAGCTGCATGGTGGTGTGGTTTGAAATGCTTGAATCCCAACTGGGTGTTTTTGTATAGAGTTTGCATGTCCTCTCTATGTGATAGCCCTCTATTTAACCTCAGGGCTACCACACAAAATGACACCTTGGGCTGACTCCAGCTTCCTGTGACCTTACTGCCTCCACAAGTACAGCTCTCTATCTCTATCTTGGAATCAAACCTCAAAACCAATCAGTAACCTGTGAAGTTACAAAATAAAGCCAGTGAGGGCAAAAGTGCAAAAACTGCAGTTCCTCAAGCCTCCACTTGGGGCTGGTTGTAAAAGCTCAGGATCCTATCAGGTCCCATGTTAAAATATTTTCCAGCCTGGTACAAAAATAGTTTTGTGTATGTTGCTTGATTGTCATTTTTTTGTAAATTCTGTATGTGAGACCTTTTTTTTAATACAACATCTCTGTCAAGATAATATAAAGGGTAGCAGTTATACATAAATATGCATTATGATGGACATAAAAGCTGGGATGGCTCACAGGTGAGGACACTGCAGCTGAAAGTTCATGTAGCTCCGCCTCTTTACCTGTTTCTGGATTGATCATAAGTTAGGTTGAGTCAGTTTTTATCTTTGAGTGATATGACAGAAACAATGTTTATTTTTTTACAGTCTGTTCTTGACTGATGAAGTATTATAGCTTATATAAAACTGTGTCTAATCTAACTAAACTCAGATACATTTGAGCTCACTGTCAAAAGTAATTTATGTCTCAGATTTGAGTCTTTTTCATTACATTTACTCCAAACGATGAGTGAAATGACTTTAAAGAAGCCTCCAGAAAAACAGGCCTGACCGTGAACCCCTTTACTTCATCTCTGTCTCTTGTCTTTCCTCTCCTGCTTTTGCTCTTTCTTGGATGATGAAGATAGTCAGATAGCCATCCATATGTGTCGACAATGTCAGAGTTACTGCAGATACGTTGAAGGAAAGTCTCTAGTATCTAAAGGAGAGAACACTCCTCTAGTCCTGAAAAAAACATGTATTAAAAGGATTCATAGTTAGTTTATTCTGTTTACCACCTATCTTCACCTTTATCTTACGTGACAGGGCTTACACAGATTTAATTTGGACCCCTTCTGACATTGTTTGACTCTCTGTCTCTATCACCCTCTTTCCTGTCCGTGTACTTGCTTTTCCCCGGGACGTCCGGAAAGAGAAACCACAAAAACATTTCACCAGAGACTCAGTCAATATTATTCTTCGACATCTTCAAAGCGGAGCAGAGGATATTAGAACCTGAGAGAGGGAGAGAGAGGGAGGGGCGGGTGGAGATAGTGCGTGTATGTGAGTGAGCAGAGACAAGTGACAGGAGTGTGGTGCTGCTAAAGCAACGAGCTAACCTTTCATATTCATCATACTCACATTTACTTGGAAGCACCATCTTTCTGCCCCCAGGTCAACCATCCTGAATGGTGAATGCTGAATCCTAGTCCTTCCTCCGACCACTAGGGGTCCCTGTGTGCATTACAAACAAACACAGATCTTCTCAGTGTTAGTTCTCAGTAACAGTTCATCTTCTCCTTTCATGTGGTGCAACAGCATCGGTCACAGTAGTAAAAGAAGTAGTACCTCTGTCATTAGGCGAGTAATGGTGCTCAGGCAGAGGCCATGAGTCAATGATGGAGGTTTTGTGGCAGGATTTCTGCTCAATATCAAACAGACATTCAGCCACGGAGCCCCAAGGACAAGCAGACACAGGATCCTTGCGGCTTCAGGGCCACAAAGACAAGATATCTTCATTTTCTTTTTCGCCCCTGACTCCTACTCCTCTTTTTTCCTACATGTGTGTTGGTAATAAATTAAACATAGCGAACGCATTCAGGAAAATAAATGGTTGAGAGCAGTATTAATGGCTAGAAATACCTAGACTTTTTAGAAATACCTTTAGATCTGAATGCACTCTCCTCTCTCACGCCTGCCCAGATGTGCCTATTGCAAGTAAGCGATTTTGCGGTCTGCGAACAGAACATTAACTTTAAAGTCTTCTTTCGTCCCCGGCTATATGTGCACGATGCTGTAAGCATTGGCCCCTGTCCAGGAATCTCCTGCAGCCAGCCGCTCATAAGCCGTCTCCTAACCGGCCAAGAATGTGAAAAAGCACCTTCAAAGAGAAAAACCCCTCTGCAAGGTGTGGTTAAAGCAAGTACCTGAGTCCACAGGTGGACGCATTAGAGCAGATGAAACCACGAACTGAAATCCCACACCTGTCTTAGAAAAAGAGACACAAAAGAGTGGCAAGGATGAAAAGATTAAATTAGATCAGTGAGGTTCTGTTGTGTTATTCCTTTATACGCTGCTTCATGCATCTTTAAACATCTGAGGTTGCGTTTAGTACAAAAGAAATATTAATTCTCCGGTGTTTCAGAGTCTATAAGTGTGACGAATGGTACCCAATAAAAGAAGTCCAAGGGTCAAAGGGCAGCGCTGTCACCATTTTACAACGTGAAACTGTGTTAAAAGACGAGCTGATCAAAGAGACTCAGCAGAAACGCCCAAATCTGCCTCATCTGAGCAGAAAATACAAAGAGCGCTCAGGGACTGTGGGTCTCCAACAAAGCTGCCCCGTTCATAAAAGTGATCCCAGAGTGGCGAGAAGAGGAGTGGAGAGGAGGGAAGAACATGTTTCCAGGACAAAGAGCTGCTTGTGCAAGGTCTGTTTCCTGCTGGCCTGCAGGGAGGGGCCCCACTGCCACTTGTTTGAGGGGTCTCCATGATAAATTTCCCACTACTTGACTCTTTCACACTGTCTGCCACTTGGACAATAACTGAGGTCACAGCAGAGTGGTGGCGCGTTGACATTGCAGCCCGCGCAGGGGACAGGGGGCCACTTTCTCCCATCATGACAGGCCTGTTCTGGGTCATAGCTAACAAATCTAAAGAAATAAATAAAACCTTTCTCACAGTTTTCTTTACTCAGACCTGTTTATTCGTCACCATTAATCATGTGTGTAAGGCCCGAGGTCCTGTGCTGCAACACCAGCCTCACACTGATGTTTCCCCTCAGGCTTGTCAAACAGAGACAGACATAGATAAATGTGACCCCCCTGAAGAGGAAACACACGCTAATGCATCAAATATTGTTCATATACGTGCAAATGACTCTGTTGAAACCTGAAGAAATCAAACTCCAAGGCTGATGGTATTTCAGCTCCACCTGAAGCACTGACTGTGCATTTTGTTAAGTATGACGACATTAAAAAAAATGTTATACAGTTTGAATTACAAAAAAATATCAGATAACTTCCACAGCATTTTGGGGATTTATGAATGAATTATGAGAAATACCCATCTACAGGTGTGGTACAAAAAATATAGATGTCCTCATGAAATTTAATTACAGTATAGCTGGAGCCAAAAACATCAACTTAAAGATTATTTGGCACTTTCAAGAGATTTCCCTTCCAGTCTGACATGCCACTGTGGTACCAATAGTGTGAATCCTGCACTTTCCCTGTTTTAAATTCCTCAGGTGATCTAATGTCATGATTTGTCAATATGCAATGGTCTTGCAACTTACCAGTTAATTGAAAAATTGCAGGTGTGAGATACTGGATTGTAAGTTCGTCTTCTATACCCACCACTAGTTGATGCTGATAACTTTTTTTTAAATATCAGACTCTTGCTGTATTTGATGTGGTTGGATTCAAGCTGGACTGAGTGGAGGATGTGGTGGAGAGATCTACACTGAGGAAGGTGGAGACTATTCTAAAGAACATGGATCACCCACTTCACAACACCTTAATGGACCAAAGGGCCAATGGTGGTGGACGGCTCCTCTCTCTTTGCTGCAGGACAGAAAGATTCAGAAGATCTTCAGACTGTAGAACTCTTCTGTAAATAGTAGATGACTTTTAGAGACATGACAAATGAGAGAACAGACAATTGAATTTCTCTTCGGGGATTAATAAAGTTCTTCTTATTCTTATTCTTGAATAACAAATCCAGAACAATTTCAGTAAAGGTCAGATTGGCTTAATCTGTCTTATCAAAAACAATAAAAAGGTACTATAAAACTTAAAAGAAACCACATAAACTCTTGACTCTTTGATATGTGGCATGCAGAGCGAAAACCCTCTAAAAGAGATAGCTACTACCATGCTGGCACAGGAGACTTTATATTAACGTGATAAAAACTTTCATTCCCTCTCCACTCTCTTTGGCTCTGTCTCGCTCAGCTTTACTCACGCAAACCTGTCATCCCTCTCTGAACCTGCCCTCTCCTCCTCAAAGGAGCAGTACGTGTGCTTGCGTGTGTTGTGTATGTATGTGTGTGCTGAGCGCGTATTGTGTTCATGGACTGGGCAGGGGGTGACTCAAATCGTCCCACCTCCCTTTCTCTCTCACAGTGAGACGCTCCAAACTTTGGGAGCGCTGCGCAAAAAACTCTCCAAAGAGTTTTCAGCTCGTGCTTCAGGGCTGCACCGAGTTACAGCAGGCAGAGAAAAAGTTTCAAGAGAGAGAAAAAGGAAAAGAGGGGGAGGAAGCTAAGCCGTGGAGAAAGTCGGGGAGAAGCAAAGGGGCGGAATGGTCCTTCAGCCGAGCAGCACATGTGAGCCAAGAGGCCACCGGTAACTTTTTAAAACTGTATTTATTGCAGAGGAGCGAGTGAGAAGAGGAAATATCAGAGAGACTCACACTTGGAGCTGACTGTCAGGAGTGTCCTGTCACCTCGACACGATGGTCTGCCTGTCCGGGTTCAGCTGGGTCTTCTTGAGCGCTCTCCTGCACCAAGCGGCACCCTGGGGCGCAAGGCGAGCGGAGAGACCCAGGCAGTGCGACACACCGAAGTCGGTGAGTGGAGTTTTGGCACTTAATCAATTCCATGACACAGAGTATTTTACTACATTGAGGTTTAGCGGTACGTAAAATTTGACCATTTCTGCGGTTTGGAGTTCCGGCGACAAAATGGGGTGACACTTGTTCTCTAAATTATCATTAAGTACTCTTTTCATGATAATGAGGGGATACTATTTTTAAAGTTTACAATATCTTAGAATTTTCATATGAAGCTGTTAAAGCACCCCAGTTTATCATCGCTGAGCTGTTTAAGGTCAAGGGTTAGGATTTTTACTTAAATTAAAAAATATCGTCAAGTTTTAAAAGAGGAAATTAGCATTAAGAAAATATGAATGTACGTTTTTTTACGTCAACAACAACAATAATAATAATAATTCTAATAATAATAACAATAATAATAATAATAACAAAGATAATAATGATAATAAAAGTCATATGAAATTGTGGTAGGCCTACTCTTGAAACGGCCCATAAACTCCCTTCCCAGAAGAGATCTGAGGCTTAAATGAAAACAGTTGCAGAGAGAAATCGTTACCACGCGCCAACTTTATGGCTGTTTATGTGACAAACGCACGTGAGGAACACCCACGGGTGACACGACTCGGTTTGGCGAGGTTACATCCACCTTTTACGCACGATCCTGCTTTTACGCAACATACATAAACACATTGGTGGGGAGTTGCAGGCAGATAATGTAAGTGCATTTGTGTGCTTGTCCCTTGAACGCACCCTCCACATGACAGGAGCCAATCACATTATGACTGTTTAATTCTAACCCCAACACCAACATAAACGGCCTCCGCAGCAACAGGCACCTTTTTAAACTCAGCACGCATCATATGGAGCTGTTTGGAGATCACAGGTTTTGTGTCTGTGTGTCCTGATGTGTGCGGGTAATGGATCTGCTGCCAGGTATCACCAAGGAATCCAGCTCCCTCTCTTCGTGTGATTTGTAATGCGTCAGTACAGTGCTCTCTGTTTTCTGTTAGGAGTAATTACCCCCATAAAAAAAGGCAGCCCTGCGCGTCGAAAGTCTCCAGAGAACAGTCCACGAAGATTTAAGCAGAGGGGATCTCCTCTTTTCGTATGACACGACCACACTTTCCGTGTCAAAAAGCTTTCATTTATGTGCAGGGTTTGGCGCACGGTTGCAAGTTAACAGACGATAAAAAGTGGCGCTATCTAAGGTCCTTGTGGCAGAAATATAACAAAGAATTCCTCTCATGCCCTCCAAACTATTCCAGTTTGACTCAAATCAAATAAGTACAAGAGCTGTTCAACAGTTCCATTTTATCAGCAGGGAAAGAAACCGCTTTAAAATTAAATAAAGCGCTCTGGATTGACTTTGTGCAGAATCAAATTGCTGCAGATATTGCTGCCCAATCATTGTATTTAATTGTAATGTTAAGAGAGCATCCCACAAGAGGACTTCACTCACTCCTGGCAGCAAATTCAACAGTTTAAAAGGCAGCTTTGGCAGTGCATCATCGCTGGAACACAGCTGAAGGAAACCTTGATTAAATTTGAGAAATAAACATTTTCTAAGAATAACTTTATTTTACAGTAATGGGTTTCATCCCTCAAATGCCTGATTACAGTGTGTCTCAGAAGCCAGAAGTTTGATACTGTTTATAGAAGTTAATCCTTTTTCATATTTGAATAATGCCAACATCAAAGTCTTTGCACATGCACAGCACATTTACAGAGCACTTAACAAGAAACATACTTTAGAGCAATATGGCCTTACGCTCATTTGATTTCATTTCCATTGGGACATTGTTTTATGTGAGGATAACCACACCAGACAAACACTTCCTGTTATATAAATCATTGAGGTCAAAAACTGTGCCACACTTGTGGCTGTCAGCAGCACATCTCCTTACTATGGTGTAAAAAAATCTCACAAACAAAAGTATCAGAGTGGGGTCAGGACTGAGAGCAGGTTTCTTTCAGCTTTTGGCTTTTATGAGCTCCACAGCAGTATATTTGCGCTGCACTCTCGAAAATACTTCCCAGGCCGAAAGAGGCTTTGGCAACCAAGGTATGCACCTCAACAATACACTGGGGTCTGTTTACAGCCAGAAGGCCCCTCTATAAACCCACCGCCTGCACCACAGCGGCCATCGCAGCACAGCCTCGAGCTCACAAAGCTTTCTATTCCCCCCGCTGTCATCTCAAAATGGTATTTCAATCTTTAACTTGTTGACCTGAGAATATGAGCCGGTAAACCACAACAGAGAGGGAAAGTGTCACATTTAGTTTAAGGACAAGTTGAATTGCTTTGACATGATGGTTTTGGCTTTTTTGTTCTTTTTTTCCTCTTCCTCTACGTCTTCCTCTTTTCCAGCAAAGTGACATGAACTCTTTCCTGTGGAGAGTCAATCGCGCACCTCCTCACCCGCCATCTTACTTATTTGGAACCATCCATGTGCCCTACACTCGTGTCTGGGAATTCATTCCTGATCAATCCAAGAAAGCTTTCCACAGCAGCTCCAATGTTTTCTTCGAGCTGGATCTGACAGACCCTCTGACCATCTCCAAGCTGACCAGCTGCCAGCTGCTCCCGCATGGGGAAAACCTGCAGACGCTGCTACCTCGAGACCTGTACCGCCGCCTCAAACGCCACCTGGACTATGTCAAACACATGATGCCGTACTGGATGACGCCAGACCAGCGAGGCAGGGGCCTGTATGCCGACTACCTGTTCAACGCCATAGCGGGAAACTGGGAGAGGAAGAGGCCTGTGTGGGTGATGCTGATGGTGAACTCGTTGACAGAGTGGGACGTTCGGTCCAGGGGGACGCCTGTGCTGGATCTGTTCTTGGCTCAAGAGGCTGAGAGGATGGGGAAGACAACAGGAGCTGTGGAGCGGGTGGAGGAGCAGTGTCACCCGCTGAATGGGCTCAACTTCTCTCAGGTAGGAAGACCACTAGATGGTTTGATCTCTCTTTTTTTTATCGGATCGTCAGCATGTTTACAGATGGGCAAACTAGTATAAAAGCACGAGTTCTTCTTTGCTTATGCACCCTGTATCATTCTGCACCCAATCTGAGTAAAGCCCCCCTCGAGTCCGTCAGGTTGAGCTATAAAAACCTTGGAAAGGTTCAGTGTGTGCACAGCTTTTAGGCGTTGCTCTCACTCTAAGAAAAACGGTCAGAGAATGTGGAAAAAGACAATATGAGGAGGAAAAAAAATTGATTAAAACCTCTCTCCAGGAGACAGCTTCACAGTTATGGATGTCCATCCACCTCACTAAACAAACACACTCACCAGCTGAATCTGCACAGAGAGTGTCAGGCTGAGCGCTGCACATGTAGAACAGATTAGAGAAGGTGAGAGAGCTCTCTTTCATTAACGCAGACTGTCTGTCTGGCAACATTTGCAAGCTTGGACTGCAATCATAGACTGGAAGATGAAGAGGATAATTAATCACCGGATTAGCAAAACATCGGGAAAATATCCACCTTTACTAACTCGCTTTAAGAAACGGAAAAGAAGGGAATATTTATCAATGTAAATTACAATCTAGTCTGTGAATCTTAACTTGAGTTAATTTTTCATGCTGTGGGAGGTCCTCCAAATATCTATCAGTCTCTAAAGGATAAGGAGGATGCTTTACTCTTATCCACGATCTGGTCCAACCTTTGAGCTGCATTAAGAGGGGAAAACCTCTCAGTATGTGTACTCATGCGCTCTGCATAAACAGCAACACACACACAAAGGTGCGAGAAGAACGCAAAGCTCCATACATGAACATTGAAGGTGCAATGCAACAGTATCTATTGAGAGCCTAGGCCTCCATGTGACAGGTCGGTGGAGCTAATTTGAGAGGCAGTGGGCTCCCAGCCTCTCCTCTTTCATCAGCACCTCCTAACTACGCTGTCAAAGTCGCACTGCATACCCGGCACATGCCTGAGAGCTTTACTGCCCCTGGAAATAATCTCAGTAAGGCACACTGTGCAGCTCAGTAATGAAGAGGAGAAATGCTAATGTCATTAGGAGGGCTTTGCATTTGTGTAGTGGGTCATGTAACATGGACATGTTATTTTCTTGTTACCTTCCTCAAGCCACCTTTATTTTTCAAACAGTCAGCCTTTAGCTGATCTGGATTTAGTGCGGCAGGTTGGCAGTTGCCCCTAAAAGCAACTTGTTAAAGTTACATCCTAAAAGAGTTGAAGAGCAGAGAGGTGTCCAACTTTAGAGAGGGGTCTATATCTCCTGCAATCATTTTATTTTTCTTTAAAGATCCACTCCGATGAAAAACATGTTTTCTTGTTGTCTATGTGTTCATGTGGCATTTTTCTGATGCTAGAGGACGTATCATGAGAAAAGTAAGTGCGAAAATGCATTTCTGAGTATTTCTGCATTCAAATTGCTGTGAACCTCTGGCAGACCCAAACGGCAGGTTTAGACACGGTGAGATTTTCTACATCACAAATCCAAGCTCCGCCCCCGTTAGCTGCTCTTCAGGCCAGACTCCAAGAAGTAGAGGGGACAATGCTCGTAAAAAAGCTAATTATGATATTAACTTTCTTCCTGCCCCTAAAGACATTTATGTATGAGAGCTTAATAGCTCCTATATTACCTGCTATTTCTGCAGCACTGGCAATATTAGACTTAAAGCTTGCTTGAGGAAGAGTGTGCAGAGTAACGTGTCCACCGTGACTCAGAAGTGAATTGCTAATGAGCTACTGGAGCTCCGCAGAAGAAAATCCCTTGAAAAATAACTAAAAACTTCAAAATCACAATTTTAAGACTACTGAGAGCACTTGAAGTAGTAAAAAAAAGAAAACAATCGGAGTGGGACTTTTAAAGAAAAGAACAGGCAGGATGCTCTGAATTTACAAGGTACAATAACTGTTTTACCAGACAGGTGCTCAAATACAGATAACAGTTTTACTGCCATAAAGTTGGAGCATGGATAACTTGAATCTCACCCTGTTGGATCCCAAGAACAAGGCTTCAGCCCCCTTGTTTCTAGATTTGTATGAGAACAATTCAGAGCTGAACTGAAACTGACATGGAAACCATTATTCTCAATTATAATAATTTGTGATTTAATCTGAACACAATGGCTGATTGATTCCCTCTACGCTCGAGCGTATCCAGGATGAGGTCAGAAGGATGGAAAGAGAAAGACTCAAAGAGAAAATGTGTGGGTAGGAGTAAGAAGAAAGAGAAGTGAGACACTGAGGGAGATAGGGCCTGATTAGAAGGGGTGGGGGTGTAAAAGCACCGTTCAGTTTGAAAATGCAGGGAGACTGATGTGCAACGTCTCACCACTAACGCTAATCTGAAACATGAGCAAAGCTTAGAGCAAGATCTAAGTTGGGAAAAGTTCCAAACCCCGACAGCCTACATATTATTTGTTCCCAATAAAAGCAGTTGCTTTCAATTTCCTGTAACTTTGACCTCACGGAGCGACTCGGGAACACAGGCGATTTATCATGTGTCACACTGCAGGTTCCCCAAAGCCACCTGGTCCCAACGGTGCCCGTGCAGAGAGTAAACATCCTGCCTTGAGGCTCTGGTTCAGGTCTACAGGTTAAAGGGAAGTTGTTTTTGGATAAATGAAGGTTCAGTTAGTCATAATTTCTAGTCTGTCTGTTTAATTCAGCTTGTTTGTGGTGGAGGGATGGAAATACAGAGGCGGAACAATCTGAAGACCATGTTGATCTCTGTACAGTGGAGACTTCTCTCAAGGTGTGGGTGTCTCTGTGAGGGGTAGTTTGGAGGTTCTGGAAATAAAGGCAGCTCGTGGCGTATGGTTCCTCTCTAGTCTTTTGGAGGCCGATGCAGGTTGACAGCTGGGAGGGCCAGCCAGCACCAAAATCTTTGTGAAGAATGTTTAGAGAAAGAAAAATCTGCTAACATCATGGAAGCAGCGGCCACAACTCTTGGAGGGGACTCCCATAGATAACTCCCACACAAATCCTCCCTTCAAGGGCAGATCAATTATCTTCCATCATGACTTGTGACTTTTACAAATGTGTCTGTTGTTTCAATCATTAAACAATGCCTGGGGTTGTAAGGAGGTGGGTGATGAGTCTTAAGGTCCTTTCACACTGGGAGCGTTTTTTTCGTGCAATTATTTCGGACGTCAATATATTTTTTCTAACCCATATCCTGTCGATACAAGCGTTCACATCAGCTATGTTCTCCCATCCTGCGATATTGCAGCATTTATTTTTTCGCTTCACAGCCACTTTTTCTAAAGTTTCGCATACTGTGTGTCCACTTCTGACCAATCAGATTGCGTGTTGTTTTGACAACAGATTCAATGATATATCCAACATGGCCGACCGGCTGATTGTTTACATGTCGGAGAACACAAACATTACAAAGAGAACACCTTGAAGGACAACTTGTGGAGAGTCATAGTGTCGGATTTCTCATATGACGATGGTTTGTGTGCTTTAACAGTTTGCTAAATGTGTTTGTTTTAACTTTCATCTGTGCTAAGTAACTTTAGCTCGTAAGCTAACCTGTTCAGATACAACATACCATATGTATTTTCACTGTCTCAAACTCAACCGCGTTGCTGTCTCAGCACCATTAGGTCTCGGTTGTTACCTTAAGTTTATGGATTGTTGTTTAATGTGCTTATCTGGTACTGGCCCTGACTCAGTACATGCTATCATGACAGACAAACATCTCAACACTTGTGTCTAATCAGAACTGAAAAACAGTCAGTCTGGTGTTGAGTCAGTCTTCTCGCTTCCATCTGGGACGCGTCTCCCCCCTGGAAAGTCGCAAAATCGCAAAATCACATCGCGCTTGATATGTATAGTCAGGGGCATTAAAATTCGCCTCAGAATATTTCATAATTTCGTGTCATATATTTGCGTTGTTCCCGGTGTGTAAGGACCTTTAGTGTCACCGTATCTCATTATATTGAGTGTACACAGGGCAGATAGGAGTAATAGGAGCTAAGGTGAAGAATAATAACTGCACAGTAAAATGCTGTTGTGGGAGATTTGAAGCCAGCCTCACTCCCCCCCAAATTAACACCCTTATTTATTTTCCCTGGGTCACATTGCAGCTGAGACCACTGGCTCATATCAGAGAGAATTTGCATCATGGCGGTGGCGCCTGTATACTGGGCAAGGGTCGGGGGTCACGGCGGGAGGTGGTGGTGGAGCCGCTGAGCAGCAGAGCGGTGAGGAGACTTGTAGTCTGCTGGGGTCAGTCTGGGCACTGCTGAGCAGGCAAGCAGATCTGATGGAGGACCCTGTCCAACCTGTGACCACGCAGACTGAGTTTCCATCAGCTCGAGCTATTTTGTGCTCTGACTTGTTTACAACTGCCTGTGTGTATGCGTGGTTTAAATAAAGATGACAGGGCCGTGTCACCTCAGGTGGAGCTGGGAAGTGTTAGGAGGAATAGGAGGGTGGTATGTGATGGACTCGGGTTCTTCTCGGCAGGAGGGAGCTCTGTTTACTGCCTCAGTGACAACCTGACATGTGTATTTCAATCAGCACACCCTCCTCCTCCTCCCTGTGCCATCCCCCTGCTGGAGAGGACATCAGGTGGAGGCTCTCTCTTGTGCTGACGCTGCAGTCTCACACATGCTGTGGTCACAGTGGGGAACTTTCAGACCCAGGGATGTGGCTGAAACATCACAATGGTTTACTTATTCCTGGTTAAATAAAATGAACTGTATTGACATGTATTTTTAACAAAATGCTGTATGTATGAAAATCTATACAGAAAAGTGCTAGGACAGCAACCACAGAATTTACACACAGCGGTCATGAAGTGAAAGTCATCCGTTGGAGACAGAGATATTCACTTTAACTGTGGTAAGATTTTATTTAAGAGGAGTTACTTCTACTCCTCGTGAAATTCAATTTGATTTGTATTTTTACGTGCTTTTCCAATTTAGTTTGGACTTTTTAAAGCATATTGCCCTAGGATACAAATCAGTGATTTGAAAATGACTCTAAAAACAGTAAAACGGTGAAATACTGCACGTTTCCTGGAGGAATGTTTCTCTTTCTTCTTCGCAGAGAGGTTTTTGGCTATGTATGGCGGTGATTTGATGAGCATTTATGGTAAGCGGTGAATCAAATATCGTGAGCCCGGAGAAGTGAACGTCTCCTGAAGGCTGGGCAAGGGTTGCTAAGAGTAACAGCAGTCCCGAAATCAAAATAAGATTCTCCAGCGTCGTATCATATCATGCAGAATACTTTTCTCTGTGTTCTTTGGACTGCGTTCACCTAAACAGAACATCTTTAAAGCAAGGAATTAAGTAACATCCAACCTTACCCATATCCAAATATTTACATTCCCTGACGGGTGTGTAAGTTTGGGTTTGAAGGGTTGTGTTGGCTGCAGTTGGACTGATGGAAAAAGCGACTCTTTGTTTGCACTCTGCTCTTCTTTCCTCCTCTTTCCTTTTCAATCTCTGCTGCCTCCTTCTTGCTCCCTATCTTTCTCTCTGACATATCCCGAGGCTGTGACTGTCCCATTGCTAACCCGTTGCTCTTGTGCACACACACGCATAAACATACGTACATCAACACACCCCCAGTGGAAAAAGAGGAGGAGGAGATCACCTTTAAAGTGTGCTGGCGACGTGTATCCCCTCTTTAAGCGTGACATCTGAGGGTGTTTCACATCTAAGCTATAATTACCTGCGCAAATATGTGGAAAACTGCGAGGCAACACGTATCAGGGCCGATCATCTGGTGCTGTCGGCAGGCAGACGGCAGTCCCACTGTTGCACTAATGACTTAATAGGCCTCCTTAATGACCAAATAGCCTGCTGCCATCCAGAAGCACTTAGACAATTATGTGCTGGCCAGAAAACTGCAGGCTGACGGCAATGCGGAGGGAGGCAGGAGGGCTGGATATGGATGCTGAGAAAACAGGGGCACAGTGCACTTGACAACGGAATAAATCAAAATTACATAATTCTTTTTACTGGACTCATATTTTGTGGGAAAAATAAAAGGTGTTGGGGAAAATATGTGAAAGCTATGATTGAGTTTGAAAGCAAGGAGCAAACAGGAGCTGGCAGGAACCTGGCACAGTGTTACTACAAGAAAAGTCCCACTTCAAGTGCAACGATTTAAAAGTGATCTTAACTGGAAAACTTGAGTCAACGCTCGACTCCGGAGAACAACGAAGAGTAACTCATTCAACCAAAATCTGTTGAGGCAAGTTTGGCAGCTGGAGTGGAAGTAAATCAATCAATCGTTATTCATCAAAAAAAAAATATGTCATGACATTTGACTTATAAAACAGGTCTAGACCACACTCTGTCATATTACAGCGAGAGACTACAGAAATTCACACAGAGCAAGCTCTTGGCAAAAGCTTAAAAGAAACACTTCCTTTAAATTAACAAGCAGAAACCTCAAGCAGGACCAGACTCAATGCTGTACAGCCATCTGTCGGACAAGATTAAGCAAAAGACTTCTTAACTCTGAAAAAGTGGTCCAGGGCCATTTATTTGTTTTTATTAAGTGGTTACACTTTATTTTTATGGTCCACTACTTAACACTCTACATGCTATCACTACATATTTTGTTGTATGTCAACAGTTTTCTCTTTATTTAGATAGTCCTGACACGTGTACAAATGCTTAGTTTAGACTGTTGACTGATAGTCTGTTGATGTTTCCAACATACAGATTGATTTAGTTTAGTCGATTATCAACAGAAGAAGCTGATAATCTACTGATAGCTTGTTGAATATTAGTCAACAACCTCACACAAAAGCACAATGAGGGTCAGAGGAGAGCTATTGCAAAACGTTGGAAGTTGAAATGTGTCTGAAGTCTGCAGACAGTTTAATGAATGTTGCTTGTCTGTTGATAGTGTTGATTAAAATCAACTGGTAGACTGTTGACACTCAACTATGTAGTTATAATGCAGTTTATAGTTTACTGGCTGTTAGTTAAATGCATCTTACTCGAAGTTTGTTGAATGTAAACTGACACTGTTGACATACATGTACATATCTGCTAATGGCATGTAAAGTATCAACAGCTGGACCATCAAAACAAAGTGTTACCCGACTGTACATTAAAGCTCCAGTGAGGAGTTTTAGCTGGTTATAAAACAGACTGAATTTAAAACTGACAGCTTTCAATGACCTACAAAAATAAAGCAGATAGGAGCAGTAAAGAACCAAGCAGCTCTTTTCCATTTAGTGGTTTGTGATGTTTGTAGTTAAAGTCAGCGGGTAAGCACCAAATAAATGCTGGTAGTTTGTCATAAAAACAGACTTTTTTTTTTCCACTGCTTGACAATACATTTTTTGACTATTTCAAAACAGAAGACGAAGACTCCTTGCATATTTTCAGGGCATAATCAGTTAGAAATGAATCCCCACTTTGTCCACAGGGGGCATCAAAACTGGCACAAACCAAAAGTTCCTGACAGAAGCTTTAATCAACGAACAAAAAACTTTCAACATCACCCTGATGTCTTTGCTCTTGTAAAAACAAGCGACTTGTCTCCAGGTCACAACCCTCCTCACTCCAAGACCTAATCTAATGACTCCACCACATTGTCACTGACCCCAGTGTGACTGAGGTAGTGAGTAAAGTGCGTCAGGTCGAAGTGCTCTTCCATGCTTTACTGCTCACTGTGCCAAATCCCTCTTCACTTCCTTCGCCCACGTCCGTTTTCCCCATGGTGAAGAAAATGAAAGTTCTTTTCTGATTGTTATGGCCTCAAATCACCCAGCAGATCCATCGTCGCTTTGCAGTCATCTTCACTTCAAATGAGGACCAAAGCTGCTCTGCACACGCCTACACAGGCAGCCACATACAGGCACACACGCCTAAACTGTTCTCTGTTTCTGTGTAATTATTTTGTCATCCCTACCGTGGAAATTACAGTAAAGTGAACAGTGGTTGAGTGTATTATCCTGCAGGCAGATAGTCTCAAAGACACACACAAACATACACTATATTTCTATACTACGTATTTGTTCATCACGACAAGGGAAAAAGCAGTAAATTGTGCAGAGCTGGAGGTTGTTCTCCTATGGGAGGGGCAGGTAGTTTCCAGGCAGGCTGAGGTTAATCTCAGGTTGTCTAGGCCAGAGGCTGATTGATCACAGACAGGAATGTGACTGACTGATTTCCTCAGAGACCCACTCGGCCCCTCTGGAATGTTGTTGTCTTTTGGGACATCGTTGTTTTATAACCTTTGTTTAACCAGGTTAGTCCTGCTGTAACCAAGGATAATTATACAGATACCCCATGTGATGTGTGTACCACGCAGGGGTCAAGTTTTTCTCTTGATGCTATCACTCTGTATCACATTCTTCTCTGGTATGCTGTATTTAATTTTGACTATGAAGTGGGGCTTGAATGTGTTGATTCGAAAATGTTGATGCATCAAGGCCTTTACTTTGGAGGGACGTTCAGATGTCACATCACATCTGTTCTAATGAAGTAAAATCAGTTTGTATAGTTCCAATTAAAGCATAAAATGCTTTCAATTTTCCACTTTGAAAAGTAGCCAGGCTTTAATAAGGAGAAGGTTCTGGCTGCAAACCTCCACTGTGAGGACCCACCTCCACTCAGAGAACCCAAGCTGACGTTTTCTCACGCAAAAATAATATATAAATATCAACATTATACACTTAAAATAAAGCCCCAAGAAATAAAAAATATTCACATGAGACAAAAAATACATGTACTTCCCAGTCGCTTTTATTTTGAAAGGCTTCGAATGACCTTCAGACGTGAAAAAACAAACAAACAAAGAAAAAAATGTAATCCCTGTATATTTGCTGTTATTTTAAAAGGCTTTAAAATCAACATCTGGTCCGCTCAGTGGAGATGGATCCTCACAGTAGAGGTCTGCAAGAAGGGTCCTGTTAGTGGAGGTCTGTAGCCAGACTATCTTGTTAAAAAGGGCCTGAGTAAACTAATACTAGCTTTCATGACCTCAATTTCAGTGTTACCCACTTACCATTGCTACATCATGAAAACTAAGACTTTCTTCTTGCTTTAGAGGTTGATTATTGGGTCTTTTATTGTTTCTCTGTATTTGACTTTTTTGCTTTTCTTGACTGTTTTCTTTTTTAATGAGAACAATTTTTAATGTTCACTCTTTGAAGTTTAAAAAATGTGGATATCACAAGTCCTGCTCTTGATTTTACATGTTCAGTGATGGAGCAGCAACCCAGTATCAGAAGTTGAATTTACTGAGAGTGCTGTGAGGGCAGTGATAAATGCAACTGATGCTGAGGCTGTTTTTGGACTTTGGACATGCTGAAAATGCTGGACTACGTACACAGAAAATGCTCAATGACATGAACAAACATGAACCAGTGCCAAATACAGGTCAAGGTGAAAAAGGGAATTTGTACTTCTAGCTGTGCTCTCTCAATTTATTACATTTATCCAATTTTTCAAAATAAGGGGGCCACTGTAACCCAGAGGCTAAGGCTTTTATTTTGAAAAATATGCAGAGAGTGTAGGGCATGACAAATGTAGTCCAAATACCTTAATCAAAAGGAAATAACTAGAAATAATGAGATCATGTGGAGTATCTAGTAGCTATGTTGTATTTGCAAGGTAATAATTTGTTAAAGGCAGAGGATGACCATGGTATTGGTTGAAGAACACTACTTAATGTGAAGGTACAGTCGTGATCAAGAATAAGTATACAGCATTTACCCTAAATACTGCAGTGCATGGTGAAGAAAGTTCCTCCAAACCACACTGTTTTAATTGTCTCAATATTTGAGGTAATATTTGTTTTTTTTCCTGTTAGGCAAAATGGGATAAAGCCAAAAACCTAAAGGCAAAAAGGACTGGTATATTAGAGCTCAGAAACACTCAGAGGAAAACAGAGGCAACCAGACAATGAGATATATGACACTGCCCAGTATGAGCGAACATGGAAAAAAGATTGTCAGTACACCATGGCATGTGATTTTCCATGTTGGATGCTCAGAGGTGAACTCAGTGTTGTGGTCCGCCTGTGACATCAGCCACACATACTACCACGCCTCTCACACACTGCCAGCCAGCATTCATAAATAGGTGCCAGTGGAGAGCAACTGTGTGTATGCGCGTGTTGTGTGAGCCAGGCTTGTCGAGGATTAGGTAGTATTAGCCGAGCACTCTCACTGAACTCTCTTTTAATGTGACCCATGAGTCCTCTGTGGCCCCTCTGCCCCGTCCCCATTAAACACAACCCAGAGGAGCACTTCAGCTCGGCTTACACCCTGCGCCTGCTCCTCTCACCTTCCTGTACCCCTCCTCTCTGATGACCTACGTGTTTGCGCTCATTTTCGCTTTCACAGCTTTTACCTGCAGAAGCCTGCAAATAGCATAATAATGTCTCAGTTGTGCTTTTTATGTTTGTTTGTCCAGTTGGATTTGGTTAACCATGTGCGTCATTTTCTGCCACGTTGTGTCACACATATTTACACTTGCATCTGCCTCCTATCAAAACCTCATATAAAAAGTGTTGATTTTGGTTTGAAACAGGTTATTTATGATTTAACATCCAACCACTTGGTAGGAGTCGAGATTTTAATTTTAACTCTGCAAATAAGAGCTGAGAGTGACAACACTGAGTAATGACCGTATTTTTAAGCCCTCCTTACTCCCATTATCTGAATTCCCAGCATCATAAAAGCTTCAACCACAGACATAAGTAAATGTCAGTAAAATTTCAGACTCCAGACTCAAGTTTGGAGCAGGTGAGCCTGTGTTGGATTACTCTGAGTCATTGAGAGGAAGTAGTGAAATTTGTACTTGGCCTTGTAAACCAATGATTTCATGCTTGTTCAAAAATAAAGCCAGCTTAACTCAGAAACTGTGTTTTTAGGTGCCACTAACTGAGTGTGTGTGACTGGGCCCTGAAACCCGTCCCAGTCTCCCTAACTGATGTGAAAACTGCAGGCTGGACCTCTTGAAACAAGGCGTCTCTCGTAAACTTTATTAGAGAGCACATAAATCCTGTCAGTCGTCCCATCTCCCCCCTCCTGTGCTTTGAGTGACGCCCATTACACACCTCTCCATCTAAGAGTACTTCTCTATCAAAGGACCCAGATGGACAAAATGTGCAGAGAGGCAAGCACACAGTAGCGCTATGGATCACTGGGTAAACAGACGGGAGAGACAATCAAACACATCACAGGCAGCGAGAGAAACAAGAGACAGCAGACAGGGAGACAGGGAGGCAAGAGACAGGCTCCAGTGCCTTTAACAAGAGCTCAGACACAGATGCTCTTGTACCAACACGAACAGTTAAGTGGGTATCGATTACTGCAGAGATTAAGTGAGAGCGCTGACAGAATTTCTCTGGTCAAGCTGTCCTGAGCCTGCAGTGAAAAAAAAGACACAGCCTGTCCACACCGAGTCCTATTGTTGTTCTGCAGCCTACCTAGTTTACATAGATGCGAGAAATCACAACATGTCAACTCCAACAACTGAAATTAAATCAACCAATCCCTTTGTATTCTCAAGACCTAAAACAGTTGTCTAGTCACACCATTTTTCCTCATTTTTTTTCCATTCGTATATATGGACATTGCCTAAATGACACATACTGTATTTGATTATATACTGCAGCAGACACACTTATCTGAAAACAATCTTAAAAGAAACTGAAATATAAGGAATATTAAAAAGCAGGTTTTTCCAGCGTATTGAAACTTATTCACTTATTTACAAAAGTTTCTTTCATCTCTTGATCCTGTCCTATACTGTCAACATCTATGTGAGTGTGTGTGACATAGTTTGGGCTGCAGTAAATTGGACTTTCAGCATTTTGTAGTTGTGCAGCAATTGTCTTGTCCTTTGCTTTAATGCCACCTCTTTGCAAATCGTCAGACTTCATAATACCTCCTCAGAGAGTATGACAGACATCATGAGGACTATGTCCATGTTTTGTACAGTCTGTGTATGGCTGGGCAATGAAACGATAATGATATATATTGAAAATTAATTTCCCTCAATATCAGTATAAAACATGGTCGATATGCTTTTCGGTAACCGGCATTCTGCCATGTTTTGTAGACTTTACGAATAGCCAGTGAAAAGGGGAGTTGCTTCGTGAAGTAGAACCAAGTGTCAAACAAAGGCGTAGTAGCAGGCTGAAGCTACATGCAACCATAGCACTTTAACCCGTGAAGCCAACAGCACTGTTGGTGAGAAAAACAAGAAAATGAGTGCTACCCCCGGAAGAAATGCAGATGAAGGCTCAACAGATGATGACATCATCGACAACACTGGCATGAAAACGTCGGTGGTGTGGAGGTATTTTGGTTTTTTGAGGTCAGATATGAAGCGGAGTAATGTGCACTGCAAATTATGTCGAGTACATGTTCTTGCAATGTCGGGGAATACCTCACATCTTTTTCACCACCTGAAGCAGTGCCACGCGGCAGAACACGTGCAATGCAAAAGGTTACAAACCTCGAGCGGAGAAAGGAGCCCATGGCGCCTGAGCAGCTGAAACAGCCGACCATTCAGTCTGCTTTCTTCAGCGCAACGCCTTACGACAAAACGTAGAAGAGACACAAAGACCTCGCAGATGCAGTAGCTTATTGTATTGCAAAAGACATGCTACAAATAAACACTGTTAAATTTCATTTTTTATATCGTGATATACATTGATATCGACTGATATGAAAAAAATATAGCGTGATAAAAATTTTTTCCATATCGCCCAGCCCTAAGTCTGTGTTAAAACACAATCAGCTCACTCACCAACTTTGTCCCATTAGGTCATCGTTGTTGGTTTAAGTATTACACACAAAGAAAGCCTCAATCACTTGGATTTGCTTTGCAGTTTATTTTGAACAACTGCCACATAATCAGGACTTATATTCACAACAATCACAGTAAAAGCCTGTAAAATCCTGGAGGGACTGATCATTGTCATGTTCATTTGACTGCTCCAAAGATAGGCCAGATCTTTCTGGATAAAAACAGTAAATGCTAACACTTCTAAACTGATCCCAAACCAACAGCTGCTTAATGTGACTGAAACCTTCAAAATAAACCGTTCAGTCTGTAAATATTGTGTGATTTTACTTCACAGTACTCACAGTAGCTCAAAGGGATTTGAAGCGCTTGTGCATTCAGGCCCCTGTTCTATCTCTCAAATTAAGAGTTCCCAGAGCTTTCTCTGAGCCGGATTGACTGAGGGAGCCGGTTGCCCTCGACCTTGCCCTCCAAATGACCCCATCCTTTTGGCTGAAACCCCAGAATAACCCCCTCCTTAACCCCCCTCTGAACTGCTGCTGAACATGACTTTCTCAGTGCCTTGGTCTGACTCAATTAGTCTTTGCAAATTTGGTTTAAGTAAATAAGAGGTTTAACGAATGCCTGGATGGATAGAAATTGGTATGAGATTTTTTTTTTTTTTTCACTATAAGACCAGTTCACCACCTCAGGACAAAGATGGAAAGTGCACTGATGTCATGTCACAATAATTTACTCAACTATTTGGCAAACTTTCCAGAGTCCTATGTGAAAACTTCCATCCATGTGGCACGTAAAATGACTTTTAAAAAATCATGATAAAGTTGGCTGCCCTTCAGTTGACGTGTGACCTGGTCAATCCTTTCCACGAGAGTGAGGACGAAAAAAAAAAGAAAAGAATCATAAAAAGGGATTACGAGAAAGAGAAGTGGACGAACAGGGATGAGGAGGGATTGGAGAGAAGTAGACTAAACCTCACGCCACTCAGGCGAAAAGAATAAGAGCCGAGAAGGAAATAAAATAGTACATTTTGATGGTATTGGAAAAGAGAAAAAGCAAGAATAACACAGGAAACCTCTTACTTTCTACACTCAACGGTTTCCTCTGTGCCAAAATAAAAGACAACAATAACAAAAATCAGGGATGCTGCTGTGAAGTTCCCCCTTCCCTGTTCTTCTCTTGGTTTTCAGAGTTTTCCCCCCTCCTGCTCTCGCTCATCACGGCCAATTTCACCTGTCACTCAGCGGCACAGTTTTTCCAACACAGCTCTCCTACCTTTCCCAAGGCATGCACTCTGCTGGCGTCCACTGGAACAGTTTAAACATAATATCAAACATATGGCAGAGTTTATGGAATGTAAATGAGATGAGAAATCAAATTTACTCAGAGAGTCGTAGCGGGACTGTGGTCTCTGAGGGGTGCTGATGTTTGGGGAGAGTCTAAATGATGGGCAGCTGTAATTGCAGCCACAAACTGAATGTGGGGACTGGGGAGGACAAGAGGGGGGGAGCGAGTTATGTTAGAGTGCCAGGAGGAGAAGGAGAGTGGGGTACGGGGTCCAGGTGGGGAGAAAAAAGGGGTGAGAGCAGGAGAAGTTAGACAGAAGGTCTCTCAGTGGGTGGCTCTTAGCTCATTTTTCTTCCTCCTTCTCTCTGTAGCGGGTGTGCATCATGTGACGATGTGTAATTGGCCTGTGGTCACACCAGAGTTGTGCAAACAGATTAGTGGGGAAACATGTCAGCCTGAGGGGCTGCCGAGGTTGAATGTGTGCGTTGTGTGAATCACAGATGTGGGATTGTGTGGGAAATAGTTTGATTGAGTTAAACCTGTATTAATGGTGAACAGGTGGGGCAGTTAACTTTGTCACAGGCAAATTTGTCGTCGTGGGCACGCGGGGAATGTTAAGAGCTCAAGCCTTAATGCACAGTTACATATGTACTCTCAATGCAGACGTATGCAGAGTTTCATTTGCAATGCCTTAATTTCATTATGATCCTCCCCATTCAGATTCAGCTCAGAGGTGGCGTGTGCTATGAGGACAAATCAGGACACAAATCTAGTTTTCCATCATGACGCCAAAACTACTACACCTCCAGATACCGTGAACATTTATCACTAAACTTTCATAACTGGGCAAAGTTGTTGGATTTAGAATGTCATATAAATCCCACAAATCAAGAGACACTTGTTAGTTTTGCATGTAATTTTATGTAACATTATACCTCTATATGGTTCACTGCATATCAAACTTCATAAACATTGCTTTACGTTGTTATGACTGTTATAATCATGTTGCTCTAAAGCCTTATAAATGCATTTATAAGTGCTTTATAAGTGGTGGGTTTGTGTATAGTGTTACCAAAATAACTTCAGATGTCACATGTTAGCAATAAAGAATCAGAACTAGCGCTCAGTGGACTCCGTTTCTTCTGTTTCCAGGCCCTACTTTCTGTTACAAAGAGGAAAGCGTGAGAGAGACCAACTCACCATCTACGTCTCAGACAGAATTTTTTCAAAATGTCACACTATTCTTTTCAGGGCGCTGTGAATCCCATGAGAATTTTTCACTGTACAAATGTTGTTGGCCTGTAAATACAGAAGAGAATAAAACCTGCCCCATTTGGCCAAAAGTGCATTAGGCTTTCCAGCTACAGTTGACTCTGAGAACAGAAAGATACGTGAGTTTGACTTGGCTCGAGAAAGTCGGTGTGTAAGCAGACAGCTTTATTGCTTTCTGATGCCCCTGTCAGCTCTGTGCCAGACCACCTGCTTTCAGGAAGAAACAGCATCCCATAATCTACCGCCCAATGTGGATTCACAGCTTTTTTCCCGGAATCCTTTGTGTAACTTTTATGTAGTTTTGCTCTTGTCACTCGTTGATATGGTTTTATAAAGAGTAACCCTGACTGGCTGTGCCCAGTGTCTGTCATGCCTACTGTAATATTAGACAAGGCTCAAGGGCAAAAAGAGTCAAGACCGCACCAACCAAGACCAAGACATTACAGAGACCAGAGAGGACCGATCTCGAGTTCTACAACACTACTGTATGGTAACCGTTAGCTTACCTGTCTTTATGCTTCCTCTCGAGGTGACTGTAAAAGTTTGAAGTCGAACCAGCTGTTTCTACAAGTTGTGCACTGCAGAATTTGCACACTGCTGAGTGTTTTCGCTCTCATGTCGTTTTACAAATGAACTCCTTGTGGTTTAGGAAACCAAACTTAATTATTGCTGAGTTGGCAGACATCTTTCATGACGAGTTCACCGGGTGCCGAGCATGAACACAGCCTCTCCTCCTGTCGTCTCCATCCTCTCTCTGTATGGAGGGGGTGTGTCAGTCACTCAGACTGTGTGACACTGGGCAGGTAACTTAGCAGCTGCAACTGGGGGAGAATCATTACTACCAATGATGTGAAGTTATTAGCTCGACCGGTCTCGTTCAAAAACCTGAGTATACTCACTCCAAGACCGAGTAAAAATGCCTTAGATTCCGAGACAACACCAAGAGACCAAGACCGATCTCGAGTACTACAACACTACAAACAGACTTTATCCATATCAGCTCTATGCAGTACATTACAGCAGAGTTTCCTCTAATAGAGGGGGATCCTCAGTTTCAGACATAAAATTTCACATTTACAGTATCTCTCTTGGGAAATCATCCACTGATAGCCCAAAGAAAATGTTTCCAGTGTCCAAACCAAACAATTGCTGTTACAAATTAGGTTTACAAAAAACTTTTTGGAGGGCACGTCTATGCTGATTTTGTCTGACTGCATCCTCATAACAATGGATTCTGTTTTTTCCATGCATGGAATCAGCCCCTACTGTTCCATTTTATTGTGATTTTGATCCACAGTGTTGAAAAGATCCACAGAGATGTTTCCTCGCCACCCGCTTATAACGGATGTGGCCTTCAGTGTCTTAATTCAGGCTGAAACTTCACAAAATCTCATAATATGAAAAATATGGACTGAGCGCAGTGTGAGCCAAGCTACAGTCTGGATCGACATGGACAAATCCCTTGTTTTTGATGGACTTTTCTGCTGTTGATTCTCTCAGGTAATAGTGTCAACGCCTCGGGGCCCGACAGAGGCTTGACAGACAGACGGTGAAGGCATGCGTGCTATTGTTGACAGCCAAAAAGCTCCATCTTTGTGCAAAGCTCACAGAGAGTGAGCAAGTATTGGAATGGAAACACGAGTTTATTTTATCAGCTTGCCAAAATGCAGACAGGGAGAGCGCATGAGAGACGCAGAGAAAGAGAGACGGAGACAGAGGCCAGGCCACCTCAAAGCCTCTGCAGTCAGCTCTGGTGACGGCCAACCCAAGCACCCGAGAGCAGTGTGAATGGCTTTTTAATGCTTGCTAACAGCCGGGGTATTTAGTGGGATGGGTGGATGGATAAAGGGACCTGCTGATAGATGGAGAAATGATGAGAATGATGACAATGTTTAGACATGAGGTCCTGGATGACCACTACTGCAACACTGCTACCCTAGATTTTAACTGTCTGACAAAAACCTTCTATTATTGATCAGGCAGTCAAGCTGTGGTATTTTCTCTGTCTCCTGCTTCATTCATCTTGGTTGTGTCTCAGTATTTTTCATGAGGTCTTATTATTTTTGTCGACACAAATGAAGTCTCAATTATGTGGAGCAATTTCCTTTATTGCTCTGCTATCTATAGATGAATGTCCAACTGGCTACCAATCATACATTCATTCACTTTTGATTCATAAGCTGCTGACGAATACTGTCCAGCAAAGCTTTAAAAAAGTACAATGTACCAACCATAACAGCCCTGACAAATTTGCAATCTGTTGTGGCCGTGGCCAAAGAAAGGCATTGGCTTGTTTGAAGCAGCCTGGACTAAGTGTTTGTTGGGTCTTGGCCTTGAAAAAGCTACTATTACAGCAGTTGTGATTTACATTTTCCTACAGTGACCTTAAAAGAAAGGCAAGCCAGCACGATAGCTCTGCCTGAAACCGAATAGGCTCATAACTGCGTCTGTAAAGTAAAGGAAGGTGTAGGAGTGAAATGATCACATAATTACCTTCATTATTTTGTCCTTTGACCAAATTCTGGAAAAGTCATTACCTTTCGATACGACTCTTTCTGTCATGAACGTACAGTAAGTGATTCAGAATACAAATGTGAAGATCTACGCATGGAAAACTGTCTGTGTGTGACTTCCTTTACACTCTACTCTTAGCTTTTTGTGCGCTTTGCACCAGTGTTCAGTCTCCTTGTAAAACATATAATGATAATAATAACTTTATTTATATGGCACTTTTAAAAACAAGTGTTTACAAGGTGCTTTAATAAGCAGGAAAACAAAGAAGATAACAACAAGAGAACACTTGAGGGAAATGTCAAATTACTGGCAATAAAGAAATAAAATAAAATATGATGAAAATTGGTGGAAGACATAAAAGCTTTGATGAATGAGAGGTTGTTAAAACAAAGTCATTAAAACAAAGATTATAAGAGCCAGTGGTCCCCAGCCAACATTAGAACCCATTCACAAAAACCTGAGACCAAGGGTACTATTATAAAACATGGATAAGAAGCGTAAAAGGTTTAAAAGAAGACAAAATCACGTAGAGTTTTAAAACTGCATGTAAAAACAAAAACTCATGACCTTTGGCCTATAAAATCCCAGTGTCATAATTTAACTGTAGTGTACTTGCTCTGCTTAAAAGTACAGAATTTGCTAGCATTGTAGATTTGTTTTGTCCAGCATTTCACGGCGGTGTGTTGCACTAGACAAAAGCTGTTTCTAATGTTGAAGGCGGCACACTTGGGTTACTAAAACGTTTTGATGAGCGCACAACAAAGGATTGGCTTTTTAAAACTTAGCAAATTTAATGAGCAACGTTTACGTCTTAATGAAAAAATGAAAGGAAAAAACCACAGTGAGCAAGAATCCATTTTTATCATGTTTGTCAGAGGGGGTACACTGATGTAAGAAACCAGGCGGCTCATTTGAACCACAGAGACTTCTCTATCTTACCTCAACTCGCCTGCTGTTTACACTAAATGGCCCCTGACTCAAACAAAAGCTGGACGGCTCCGTGGAAACCCTGAGCGGAGAGGATGAGAATGATGAGGAGGGGAGAAGTGAAAGAAAGAAGTTACAGGAGGTGGTGAAAGGGGAGAAGGGAAACAAACAGAAGAAATAAAAGAGCTCTTTCAACAATGACAAATATTCAACAAAGAGTCCTGTAGCTTCTTCTCGACTTTGTACAACATGCTGACTTGGACAAATGAAATGTCTGGTAAACATATCAATTTGTTTTTGAAGTATTTACTTTCTGTATCACAGGGTTGAGAGTACTATCTCATATTTACTGGAGTATTATCTACAAACTAATATGAGCATTTTTCATGAGGTGTTTTGGATTATACTATATCAGGTCATTATTTTACTCAGACAGGTGGCTTAACTCTGAAAGGGCAGTGATTATGTGCTAATTCTTTCCCTTCAAACTTGAACGGTCAGCTTTAAAAAGAGACCAAACCTCAAATCTTTAAACCCCCACAGACCCCATAACCCATCCACTCTCACCAACAGATTTGGCATTCAGAACTTCCTCTCACCTCACCAAGAGACAGACGAATTATTTGTTAAAGCCATCAACAGGAAGAGAGAAATTGATTTAGAAAGTGTAAAGTCTGGTTTAAGTCTGCAAAATGTTTTAAGAATTCCATCCGTCTTCGCCCTGGCTAAATCATGGTGAAGGGAGTTTTTTTTCCCTGATTGAGAGCCAAGTTTTGGAGAAATTTTCGGGAATTTCTGTTGAAATAGTGGACGGTTCCCCCTACTTTGAGAGCAATTTTCTGTCTTTCTTTTCTTTTATGGAAAAAAAAATGCTTATCTTGGATTGGTTGTGGTTGTCATTGCAGTGATTGTGGATGAAATCAGTTTGAAGGATGTCTGGTTTTGGGCTTAGCTTTTTCTGGGGCAGCACTGCCCACCCAGGAGGACCTGCTGATCTGGCTCTTGTAGAAAAAAAAAAGCAGCAGCTCTATTCCACATTCTCTCCTAAAGAAACACAAATAAATGTCTTTTAATCAGCCCTGAGTTCTTCAGGGGCTCATTTGGAAGGAATGTAATTGAAACTCAAAATGAAAGTTATTCATAAGGTAAATGTGCTTTGGTAAGCTTGATTTCTCTCCCCCACAGATGGTCTCTCCTTTACCCAAGAGTGATCATGCTGAAGTTCAGACTAAGACACAATTATTTCATAGAGCAGGACTCTGACACTATTTAGGAACACTCTGTGAAATGTAAAAATCACGCAGGACCGCAGATATTTCAACAAATGATTTAATACAAGCTCTCTGATATAATGAGAGGTCATTGGCTCTGTATGCCTGTCTGTCTTCTCTCCTTCTTGTTCGCTGCTTTCAGGAATGTCGAGGGGGAAAAGGTCCGGAGTTCAGCTCCTCTGAAAGGGGATCCAAACCGCGTGCTAACGAGAATGCCAAGCCTAACAGGGACTGACAGCTCATCCAATGAGAGCTGCTGTGTGTGTACGTGCGAGTGAGGGTTGGGGGTTTGGTGTAAGAGCATGCCAAATATCTGTGTGCATTTATTATGAGAAAGCAAAACATCCCCTGTGAGGCTTAATGACTCATTTTTTTTTCACACACATGCATGCAGGAATGCACGCGCATAAACACGCATGAAGATGAGACGCAGACGCACTACTTATGCACGTCAATCAGTCAGCAACAATAATCTAAAGGATGTTTCTCCTCCATCTCCACCTTTCTCCATCGTGGCCACAACAACCGGCTTTTTGGACTCAGATGGAAAGCAGATGGGTCAGAGGGTGCTGAAAGAGAGACAGAAAGAAAGACATGAAGAGGAATAAAAAGGGTTGAGAGATGAGACAGGACGGGAAAAGGAGGGAGAAGGTAAAGAGGTCAGATAGGATACAGTGAGAGCTAAAGAGAAAGTGAGAGAGAGAGAGAGAGAGAGAGAGCGAGAGAGATAAAGGCAGCCAAGGGGTCAAGAAGGGAGCGAGGGAACCATCAGCCATTTTCACATGAAAGGAATCCAACCAATCCCCTCAATGATAAACATGTGTCTGTGTCTGTGCTATTTATGTGTGTGTGACTTAGCGTGTCTGCGTTGTTCACTGTTACAGACACTCTGACTCCTGACACTGACAGTGCTGATGATGATGTACGCTCTCTCTTCCACACACACACACACACTGACACCTCGTCTACCATTGTGACAACAGCCGGTGAAGCGTACCGCACGAGTGTTAACTGACACAAGCCATCACACCCTGAGCACAACATCAGAGTCAGGTCCAAAAGCGTTGCATCACCTCTTCCTCCTCTCCTCTTAGTCTTGTCCTCACCTGCCTTCAAACTTGCTGCTCACTTACACCCTCAGGGACCGGACCGAATACTTGAACACTGCATGAAATAAGAGCCAGAAGAAACTACAAAAAAATTAAATTAAAAACAGAAATCCCAAGATTTTTGGAGGTTAGGGTGGTTGAAGAGGGTTTTTTTAGGAGGCGGAGCCTTGGTAACATGATGATTTTCTTCTTCTGTATGTTGGATTTGGCTTTGACAAAATATTTGGCAGTTGGCCGAGCAAATTTTCAGTGTGTATTTGTGCCCTTGGGAGTCTACACAAATATGTAACTGAAACATCCCTGGTTGGCAGTCTTTGTTGTATTGCCTCCCACTTTGTATCCCAGCATTTCCTCTCTATTACCTCCTGAAACATGTACAATATTTGGAAAAATCTGTCCAAAAATCATGTATTCCTGTGTTGAGGGCTCCAGATAATGAAACAATATGTTCTTCAGTTAACCTCTAGCCTAGATACCCTAAGAATAGAAGTGAAAAGCCTCTGCATTGTTTCCATGACTCACCTACAGGGACAACATAGTTTCTGGACAGCAATGTGAGTTGGCTCCTGTTGTGATGTCACGATAGGAGGGATTTGCATGTGGATCAAGCAAGTAAAACCACCCTTACTTCCACTCCTCGAGCTGCCTCCTAATTTGCTATTGGGCTTTTGCTGCAGTGTTGTCACAGTGAGTTGGTTGCGAAAACAAATATCTACAATCTCTCTCAGCACCAATGAAACCAATATAAACAGTTTTTGCTTTTTATTTTAACAACAGCTGGATCTAGTTTGATTGCTTGTGCCAACCACTTCATCATGGACTGCGTCAGAAAAAGGAGTTGACCACATATCCTTGAACATGAAAAGCAAAAAAAGTATGAAGGCCACTCATATTTTAGTGTACTATGAAGAGACTTGCTATTCTGGGTTCTTCTAAAGCACTTATCATATTTGTTTTACGTTTTTCAGTCTCTGCATCTGTCTGCATGGGTTTGCACCCTCGGGCACTTAATCAGCACAGTGTCTCATTAGTAGGGTGACCATATTCTGACTACCCAAAAAGAGGACACAACTACACTGAGTTGGAATTAATTTTGAGAGTTTTTAGGGTCGGATTGAGTGTCTTTTACATGCTTCTAATTCAGTAAGTGCACATGACACAAACTCAAAACTTTCGTACAAAACCGCGGACATTTGAAGGATTTTATAAACTTCCTCAGACAAAACCAGACAGCCCCCCAAAAAGAGGACGTGTCCGGGTAAAAGAGGACATATGGTCGCCCTACTCCTTAGCATCCCCCCTCCCTCCCAAATCACTACATGGATAATGTGATTAGAAACTGAGAGGCTGCAGCTCCTCCTCTATTCAGAGGCTGAACACGATTTGTTCATAGCAACTGGATTCAACAAGTAGGACAGATTGAAATCAGATAGAAATACCAACAAATTAGACCTCATACTTCCCCCTCAATCCTTCAAATCCTGTTAAAGTTGGTGATTTCACTGTTATAACTCTGCTGCATACGTCTGTTTGGAATTCTTTTGTCATAGATCTTTCTTTCAGACTTAATTAGGTAAAGTTGCAGGTGTTTTCTTTGGCAGATGCCTTTTTTGGGGCTTTCAATCTGTTTTCAAAACTACGCTCATCTTGAGCCAACTTCACAACACTGTTAAAGTTTGGATTTCCAGACTTCTTTTATAGCACAACTGCTACTGGCATCTGACCTAATATGACTCACATTTGTCAGAGTGTTTGCTGTTGAGATCAAGAAGCTTCAAAGTTAAAATGTTTATACTATTTCCCCTCCATTTTTTTCCTGCTTTTTTCCCTCCACACCAGTCATCTCCTTCACCTCCTCAGCTATTCAAGGATCTTTGCAGCAAAAGTTGAAGTCCCCTGAGAGGCTGAGGTTGAAGGGCCTCTCTGTTGACTCACCCAACTTCTTGGAGCCTAGCCATGGTTACTGCCACCCGGCCCGAAATGAACCAGGTGGGGGTGTGGACAAAGAGAGCAGACGGTCATTTAGGGGGAGAAAATTAGGTGGAGGGAGGAAATAGTGATCTGGGAACAAGAGAAGAGAAATGAAGGAGTTTTGCTTCGGCGGGGTAAACACTCTTAAGCTTGTCCTTTGTTGTTCAGAAGATTACGTCTCCGGATTGCAAACATCAGTTTTAGTTGGCTTTTTAAGAAATGCTTTTTGATCCAGTATGTGTTTGTATGTGTATGCTTGTTTATACCAGTATGTGTGTTTGATTGCTAGTTACTTCCTTTATGGTATTTTCACAACAATGGCTGCGGTGGACAGGGTATTTATTTGGAGGAGCCACAAAGTACGATTCTTCTTTTCCGTTCATCTGTTGTAACCCTAAATGTGTAAGGCATCTGTCAGTATCCCCTCTGTGTGTATGTGTTGGGCCATTGAAACCACTGCTACTCACCCGTAACCACACACTGACAATCGGGTCACTGGCACACATTCATGCATGCAGGAGAACACATAAACACTCACAGAGTCACACATACACGCAGACTGCGGCCCTGTGTGAAGTGGCTCCATTTCGACTCAATCGACTCTGACAGACATTGTTTTCAGTGGCCCACAACTCAATAATATCACGTCCCTGTGTGTCTCTGTGTGTGTGTGTTTTATCACGCTTTCTTATTTCAAGTAACACAACTGTTCCTCTGCCTCCACTTCAACACCTAATTACTGTCAGAGGTGATGTGTAGTTGGTACTAAACCAACAGTGATCTAGTAAAATCCCAGTGTTAATTAAGATAGGCTTTAGCCCAGCGGGGAGTGTGGGGAGACTGAAACTGAGAGCTCAATGCAGAAAAAAGCCAGTGTGCTCAGACAATACCATCAGAAATACTCATATAAACAAACAAAGGCAGAGGCCATTGTTTCAGATCTTGCTCAGCACAATGATTAGTTTAGACAGAAAGTTAGGTGAAGCAAGGGTCTATTTTACAGCTCTGAGGGCAATCATTTAGTACAATAAAATCTAAATAAACCGAAACTCACAGCAGCTTTGATGCTTTCTTCTGTGGTGAGGTTTGGACCATTAAGCTGATGTGTGTGTTCGCATGTGTGTTTTGTGTTTATTTGTGTGTTTGTGGCCTCAGAGCCAGCCCCGCCAGACTGCAGTCTGGGGCATTGATCCAAAGAAAGATAACACTAAGTCCAGGCCGAGGTCACAAAGAGCTTGAGTGTTTGTTTGAGTGTTAGTACTTATGGGCTCTGTCATCTCAGAAAGTGTTATGTCTATGCAGTTATTTCAACTCCAACAGATGCTCTTTTTCGCCTTTAAAACTATCTCTGCACCTTTAATTCTTTCATGGGACTTTCCAAACCAGCACAGGTTTCAGTTTTCTAAGTTTTTGTTTTTTGTCTCAAATGTTTGAATTTGTACAGCAAAGTAAGTCTTAGAGGCTGTTTTAAGAACAAAGCCTCAATTCCTGATCATAACTGAAGTGGAAATGCCAAAATCTCATTAATTCCTACAGGATTAGAGCAGGTAATCTTTATATAAACTATTTTTTTTTGTTTTGAAAGGGCTGACTGAGAGGTGAAGAGCAACATAAAGGAAGGGATAATGGTATTTTTTATGTTGTACCATTCACTATTCAGTCTCTTTTGTAGATGTTTCTCACTGTGCATAAAAGCAAAAACGGTCGTAGACAGTTGATAGTCATATGTTACCGAAATATTTGCTGTATTTTGTCTGTCTAAACTCACTGTACCTTTAGTAAAGAAATAGGTGTGATCAAATTTACACTTTTTTAAAATTTATTTCTGGGCTTTAATGAGATGTCCAAAATGACAGGACAGCAGATAAAGAGGGAAAAATAAAAAATCAATTGGAATCAAATCCAGCTGTAAAAAAGAAAATACTAATGCTTTTATCCAACACACAACATTTTAATTTATTTCATTAATTAATATTATTTATCCGTTGAATCATTATTGCTATAATGCACTAAGAGACAGCACATCCTTTCTGCACTGAGAAGGAAGATAGAGAGATCCCTAATCATGAGCAAGTCTACTGTTTCTATTACGCAGTCATTGTATGAACGTCTTCCATTACATCATTTTTACACAACAGGGTTTAAATTTAGGTATTGCACAAAAACACAGCTAACAACATGCAACCCTCTTTTGAGTAATTAGATTATTTCTGCAGCTACAGCAGCTCGAAGTTTTATTCGTAACCTTTCAGCGAAGACAAACTGCACAAGTTGTAATCATGTTTATGCAATACTCCTCCGGTCTGCTGCAGCATTCCTCTCAAACCGTGTGGCCTGCTTGATGATTTGCGGTTCATTTCGAACCACAATCTTGTGATCTGTTGGTCAGGGTGACCACAACCCCTCAGCATGGCAGACCAAAGCTAGGCTTGAGCTGCTGTGGGCTGCACACAAAGATTAAAAAAAAGGGATGTGGACTGATGTACCCACACACTGTATGTACAGCTTAAACACCTCCTGTACATAAATGTACACACACATGTTCTGAAACATTGAATTATGGATCTTTCCCACAGGCTGATCCGCTCTGTCAGAAGCCTCTGCTGAGCTGTGGTCCAAACCCAATGTTTTTCTTAATATGGAGTATGGGTGCTAAAACTATTAGAGGCAGCAATCATAGTCTTAATCATATTGGATTTCTTCATACCAAGCACTTTCCCTGGGCGGATACAAAGCTGAGAGCTCTGAGTGGTCGGAGGTCGGATAGTGCATGTAAGTGCCTGTAAAAAAAGATGTGAATGCACTCATAGTGGTATATAAGAAAGTTGTGTATAGTTGTTCTTAAGAGTTAAATGTGTGTAAGAAAGATGTGAAGTGAAATATAAATTCTAAGTAACCAGCACTAGATTCCTGCTAATAAAGACGACTCTCCTTAAAAATAGGAGCAGCCAAGAATGTGACAGATCAAAATAAAACTGGTATTAGAAAAATGTGTCACTGATTCATGAGGGAATAAATTCATAGAAACTCATGTGCAGACCAGACGGAGTGAGATTGAAATCCTTGTTGATGCTTTGCTGTGCCACGTTAGCTCACACATATGCATACAGCCAAGCAAACAGAGAATTATAAGAAAATTTATCCCCTAGAGCTACTATTTAAAGACTCTTACCCTACTCTTACCCTCTTACACTCGCATGCAAAAAAAGGAGTATTAAGGTTTTAAATAAATTAGGAGGATTGTAAAAACATTCTAAGATTTGGCGAATGCTCACATCAACAGATTTCTGTGCCGAAAGTGCAGATTTATGAAATAATGAGAGTCTCATGAGTGCAGTTAAATGCCCGAGTCTCTGATGGGACAGCCAACGTGGCTCCTAGTCAAGGTCATCCAGAGAAGAGCTACTAATCTATGGCCGGTGTTCCTGTAACTCGTCCACCACACAAAGCCAAGACTCTGCCTTCCATCTCCAAACCACCAGCAGCATGGAGGAGTTATTTCCCATGTCCTATCTCTGGGCTCTCTTCCCCCTTTTACCTCCTCCCACTCGGCACATTTTTGAGTTTTCCTGCCTGTTTGTTTGTGTATGTTCTCTGTCTCCATCTTGGCTTCACTGCCTCCTCCTCTGATCATTCTTGTCCTCACACACAGGCAAACACACACTGTTTTGTTCTGTCTCTACTTTCTCCCTTTCTCAAACAAACACAATGTTGTAGTTTGTCTTCTCTTTCAACACTGATGAGTGGCTCTGACGAAGCAGACAGACTTATTCATGGGCTGCTCGTAAACATGATCAGTTCTTTCATCAGGTCAGATGTCTGCTGCAGCTGTCAGTAGGAACATGTTTTGTTAATTAGCCACAGTATGCGAAGGCCAAAACATTACAAGCACAATAATTAAGAGTGGCAATTGAGAAATCTCTTGGGACATCTTCAACAGTAACTGTGAATTTCCCACAATTTTTTTTCTTTTCATATCAGTGAATGCTGACAGTATTTTTCCTTTGAGGCAGGACACATTGCGTGAATTGAAGCCAACTCTGACCTGATTTTTGAGTCACACAACTGATTTTGAAGTCGGGCTGATTTTCAGCTCAATCATCTGTTGTTTGCTGTGCAGCATACAGGAGGACACTAAGTCAACTACAGCCTGACAAGCTGCTCCCAACCAGTCATTTAACTCTTTAACGCCTGAAACCACAAATTATGGCCAGAAAATTCAATTATTTTGGAGCTACAATGTTTATTTCACTTACTACTGAAAACCAAAAAAATCAAAATGTTCTTAAAATTTAACAAATATTTATCTCGTTTGATACATTAGATGTTTTTCGAAACTGATTAACCACAAGAGGACATTTTTATTATTTATTGGACTGCATTAAGGTGTTTTGTTAGTAATTTGTTGATTGTATTGATTTGATAGAAGTATCATAAAAGTATGTATCAATTGATACAAAAGGCATTAAAGGGTTAATTTCTGTTGAAGACTGGTTGTTTGATTGTATACTTTAGTACAGTGGCGACAGGTTGTTCTGTTTTGTTTTTCGAGAGAATTGTGAGTTTCTAAGTCACGTAATTGTGTGCGATGCAGATGTCTAAACATATTTAATCAATTTTCATAATCATGATATCAATATCAATCAATAAGATTATAACTATGATTTTTACCATAAGCAAGCAGACCTTCTAGACAAACTGACTGGGGATTGATTTTCTCTCTCATGTACACGTCTTAGTCAGACTGAAACTGGCCTGAGAATTCTGTGAATGTACCACAGTTTGGAAATTTAACAGGATAAATGCGCTCTAGGAAACTGTTAGTGAACAAAAACTCAACAGAAGGAGAAAGGAGGTATACGCACATTGCATGCAGATGCATCAAGTGTCTGAAAGCCCACTCTGTGTGGTGTGGACCACTTAAATACACAGAGATATGCACAACATATTTACATTACATAAATACCTGAAAGATGTCAATCACATCAAGGTAAAGGTTGATCAGTATGTGATCTGCCACACCTTTAGAGTCTTGAAAAATGGTCTACTCTGCAAATGTTTGTTTTTAGTTCATTTTTGTCACAATGTTGGCACATGCTTTGTGAGACCAGCAACTATGATGACTTTTACAGTCTGGGTTTATTATTTCAAGCTTAATTTTTAGAGGTATTAATACTCCAATCAGAATTCATCTATTTAATGCAAGATGAAAACTAAATTAAAGAGTTGTCCTCTTTTTGAATTCAACACAGCCTTTAAAAGGAAAAAAAACAATTTGACATGTACCTCAGGTGATGTTTGCATGTAAGTTAACACTCTGAAAATAACTTCCTTGGCTCTCATATTGTTTTTCTTCTTATAATACCTTCTCTCGTTGCACTCAAACACCAGCCGAGCTCAAACTCCTTTGCGGCCGCAATTTTAAAGGCCTCTGTGAGAATCAGGGTGGATTTCTTTGTGTGTCTGTTAGTGTGCGATATCTCTCAGTTTGATCAGATACTGTGGAAGTGGATTAAGAAGTATTCAAGTGTACCAAGACTTCCCCAGTCAGTCCAGCATATTAAACCTGACAGAACAGACTGTTATTCTTCTCTTCATCTGCTTCTCATTCATGTAGTGAGAGAATGAAAAAAGGAGGAGAGACAGAGAAAAAAGGAAAAAGGCAGTGAAGTTTGTGTGATGTCTGTCACCAAACCACGTAGTACAGAAAGGTTCTCATTTATGTATTTGGATACATGTGGATGCCTCAAAAAAAAAAAAAATTTTTTTGTTAGCCCTCAGGCCCTCCTTTTCAAAATGACAGCAGAAAAACCCATCTGAGAGAACAAAAAATGTACACAGGAGGGGATAGGGGTTCAAGTTTTTTAAACACAAAGATGAAGTTGTACTTGAATATTTGTAACCTTCAGCCAGGGATATTTCAGATCCAAATTTCCTTGTCTTTGAAACGGAAACCTTTAAACAATTTACTTAGACAAAGTTGCCGTAGTATATTGAAGATTGATTGATTGATTTATAGAAAAAAACAAACTAGCGAACTTGGGATCACAGAGTCTGTGGGTAAAATGGTGTGAAATTGGTTTGTGAAGGGTGTCTAACAGTAGCAGAGCTAGCACCACCAGCCTTTAGTCCTCCTTGTAGGTTAACATCCACAGTGGTTATAAAATACTCTAACAGAGCAAAGCCATCATATAAATTTATCTTTATTTTCTAGATGCAAATACTGACAAATCCTACCATCTATCTTCTGTGATTTCTTAGATTTAGGTCGTAGAGCTCTGTAGCATTACAGCAGCCACTATGAGCCTGGAGCCCAAAGGTTCTTGTCTAAAGGAGCACATGCTCAGTTCAACCATAATCAAACAAATAAGCAAGAAGAAATTCAAAAGAAGACAAAAAGATACACAGGATTTCTACCGCATCCGGAATGGCGGCAATTTTCGCCGTACACCAATTCCTACCAGATTGTGAGGTGAATTTCGTGGCGGATTATGGACAGCAGGAATCGCGAGAACTCACAAGAACCCGCTGATTCATGTGCAGTGTGCATAACAAGTTGTCTTTAGCCACATAGGCTAACCATATAAGCAGTAGATTGTGTCCTTCCAGAGGAGGAAATCTACTCCTAGACTGAAAAAATCAGCATTGTCTTATCCATGGTGTCATCAAGACGAAATGCTGTCTATAAACATTTCACTTGTACGTCCCTGCCTGTTTGCATGGTGTAAAATACGATCCACCTGAAACATGGAGTGTTTTATTTTGAAAAGAAGCCGGATGTTTTATTTAGTGTCTGTGCCCGACTTCCTTTCCAGCACAGGTTAATCTGTGCTGAATTTATCCGGCATGCTCTGGTGTCTGGAAATAAATAGAACTCGGAGTCCAGGGATCCGCAGTGGAATGGAGAGAAGCCGGTGGAAATTGACACATTGACTTGAATGGTTACGATCAGCTACGATCAGCAGATCGGCCTTTCCGTAGCCATTCCAGAGGCAGTGGAAATTGGGGTTAACAGTTTGGGAAACATTTATAACCCTTACTGACAGTCAGCTTAGCCTGTATAATCAGAAGCAACACTCTGGGTGAGTTTAAACTCCCTCATTTCTAAATCTTCACCAGTGGCTTGCTGGCCAAATAATCAGGCAACATGTTTCAAAGAGTTTCTTTAGGGGTTTTTCCTTCTTTTGGCTTAAGTTCAACAACATGTCCGGGTCTGATTTTGCACACACAGGTAAATTACCCTGGACAGAATGTGGCATTGTGTTTTTCCAAGAGTAAAAAATACTCTGTATATCTGACAAACTCATCAGGAGTCTCCCTGGCGGTTCCACTGTTGTTAGATGCTGGCAAACCCCACCAGAAGATTGTAGGTATTTGTGTCTGTTTTTGTATATCTAAAGCAGCTTTTTCTTCTCATCCCCGGGACATTTGGAGTTCCCGTCTTGTACTCACAGTGTGATTTTCCCTCATTAGTCTTCTTCATGAACTGTATCTATCTGTTGCTTTGAGGTGTACAAACTGAAATAGGGTCCCGTCTCTCTCTCTGTTTTTCCGCAGGCTGAATAAACGTGCGTGAAATTGAACATTTCTTGTTCTGATTTGCCGTGAAATGGTGTGCTTGTGTGGGATTACAGCGCGTTAGCTTCAGCATCGGATAAAATAGAGCAGGAGGAGAGGAAGTTTGGTCCACCTCCTTCTCCTTCTGCTTTTCCAGTCTATTAGACAGCCATAGCCCTGTGCAATTTGGACAAACTCTGTGGCGAAGACAGATGCATATGGAAACACAAACACACTGTATTCACATGCATGCACACAAGCATTGAGTTACAAGTGCACGCTCGTACAGAGAGAGGGAGTGTGTACCAAGTGCAGCACAGGAAGGAGGAAGGACATGAAAGCTAAACAAACAGAGATCAGTGACAGTGGTGGAAGGCGAGCTGCCATCAAATGAAAGAAAAGAGAGGAGGGGAGCAGGAGGGATGAAGGGTTGATGGTGAACTGTATAATCTAGAGATTTGTCACTGAGAGCGTATAACCTGGGTGGGAGAAAGAGAGGAAGGCTGATGATTGAAGGTTTGAGAACTGATGGGAGATGAAGAGATGCTGCTGAGTTTTTTTTTTTTTTTGGAGGGACGGGGGCAGGACTGAGGATGGAGGGGCTTTGGGAGGATGAACAAGGGAGATGGTAGAGGACAAAATCGGCCAGCTGTGCTCCAGACCGGTTGGAGGGAGAAGGAAGAGGAGGAGGAGGAGGATGTACAGGCAATAGGTCTGCTCCCTCCTTTTCTCCATAGCTCTCCTTGTTAACTATGAACATCTGGACTTTCTGTCTCTTTTTCTGACTGGTTCCTTATATTACACCCCCTGCTATGCCTCTTCCACTTTTTATTTTCTTCTTCTTTTCTTCCCATGCTGTCTCTGATTTTATTCCACATATTTTCTCCCCGCTCCTGCTATATTTACTATTACTGCTATTGCTAACACACACTAAAACACATATGCCTGATATACAGATGTTGACTCTGACATAGAAGTCTCTCAATCATATTCCTTTGATATGAGCGTATGCTGTTTTATAGCTAAAGTCAGCTGCATTACACACTGTGCTACTAAAGTGTCCAGTTCTCTGCAGGGGAAATCTACTCCACCTGTCAGATGCAACAAGAAAGAACAACCTGGGCTCGGGCGCTTGCTGAGACGCATAAATTTTAAAAACAATACAGCATAAATCTCAAACCTGATTTGTTTGAGGATGAATCTGTTCAACTTGGCGTTACATTTTTTGAATATCATCAGGATGATGTGATCTGCAGGTTTGACTCACAGGCACACACACACAGAACCCTCTGCGTAGATCCATCTCTTTAAAAGGAGTGAATTCAGTCGCCTAGAGCAGCTGATTGTTTTAACACTTTCTCAGTCTGCATCTGCTTTTTCTCCCATTTCACAATTTATACAAGAGATTATTTGATGTTCTCATGTTTCTGCTCGATCTCAGATGTGGGCCGTACAAAAGACAAATCAGTCGTAGTGACTAAGTTTGTGAAATCAGACTGGAGGAGATAAGAGAGAGGGAGAAAGAAGGAGAGATAGAGAGGTTGGGTTTTAGTCTTGGGCAGAGTTGGTTTAGTTTTAACGCACATGGCTCTTTATATCTGCTCTTTTTTCATGCTGGGGACAAGACTGAGCTAATCTAGTTTGGATAGAGTCACAAATAGTGGGACAAAAATAAATCTAAAAGTTAAATGACAGTATTTAACTCTGACAAAAACTGGATGGTAAAATTTGTGTTTAATTATTTGAAGGCTGTGATCTTATGGGCGACTTTGAGCCTCAAGAAGGACAAGGTTAGAATGACCAGACCAAAATGATTCAGGCACGTCTTTGCAAAATCTTTCTCTTTCAAACAACTGAAGAGATCTGATGGATGGTGGGTGAAATCAGCTTCTCTAAACAGAACAGATCGTATTATTAAAAGTTTAAAAACCTCAGTGGTTCAAACAAGATATTTTTATAGACTGTCACAGCTAAAGTGAAGGATTAACTTTGATGCACTTTGAAGCAGGTTAACTGAATGTAAACTTGTGTCAAGAACTAAAAAAAAGAATATCCCAGTGTGAGCGATTGACCATTGGGTCCTTTTTTTCTCAGTGAGGATATCCTAACCTCCAAAGTCTAGACAATGATTCATCCTACATCTGCAATAGTTTGCTCACTTGCTTGTTCCCCTCAGGGCACATCTTTTGGCTGGTTTTATTTTGCTGTATAGCTGCCTTACCGACTGTGATCACACATTCATAAAATGAGTTCAATTTAACCAAGGAAAAGTTCATTTTAAATCCTGTTTACAGTGTTTACATAAAAATACTTTTCTTAATATTTTAAAGATTTTTTTAAGATTAATTTAAAGTATTGACTGACCAAAATATATGCTGTTCATCAGTTAAACTGCCAATTTAAAGCAGTATTGGAGCCACATTATATTTTGTATTAAACAGTAAGAATTTTTTTTTTTTGAGATTCAACATTTTATACATAATTTTTTCATGAGAATAAAACCGCAGTAAAATCTGAATCGAACTAAAATCTGAATCCCTCTGAAAATTTCTAAATCTTTGAAATAAGAAACAGTCTTTAATGTGACCTGAAAACTTAATTGTAGACAACAATGAACATTTTAAACTTTATACCATTCCAATTTCTTATTTTCATTGAGGGGCTAAAAGTTAATCTATTATTTATTATTTGGAAATATCCCTCGTTTTGCTCTGTTTGGGTCTCTATCAGTCGTTCAAAAATATTTGTGGTAACACTTTATAATAACTTTCTGTTAAAACTAGTGAATAGATCATTAGAAAACTGTCAGTGAATAAGTTATTATTGACTTGTTAAATGTTTGTAACAGTTTAAGGGTTTATAATGATATCATTAATAAACTGTTAGTTAATGAGTTATAAATGACTTGTTAACTGTATGTTAATGCTTTATAACTATACCTTATAAATTAGTAAAAGATCATGAACAAGCTATTTGTAAATTACTTACTAATGACTTATTAACTATCAGTTAATAGTTTTTTATGTTATTGGGATGTTACTCTAAGATTGCAATTATTCCTGATTTATCAACAGTTAATAAATGTTATAAAGGATAAAGTTATAACAGATAGTTATTAAAAAGTGTTACTATATCTTCTCGCCACTGTTTCCCATCAATTCTTTAACTACATCTTTCTGCCTTTTATTACACAGCTTTTTAACTAATCACACATCTTTGATAAATACTTAATTCTAATTGGTAAAACATTATAACAACAGTAATTATGTATGAAAAGCTCGAGCAACACCAGAGAAAACCAGCCTTATACCAGTGTCGTATCTTACCCTGTCAGGACTTTATTTCCCATGACCACCTGCTGAGTAAACATGATCCTTTACTTTGGTGCTGAGCTGTTTTCTCAAAAAAAGACCACAAACCATGAGCTCAAAGAAACCAAAACACCAAAAAAAGCATTGGACCAAATTCTCTTCATAATAAGTGATACCTTACACCATTCAAATATTCCCCTCATATGCAAGCCAACTCTCTATACTTCTCCCTGCAATGCTCAGCTGGGGTGTGCGTATATATTTACACACAGACATATTTCTGCACAGCAGCTCTGAGCCCTTGATTAGAGAGAAAACAAAAATTAGCACAATTTCCTCCCATAATTTGCCCCTTCTCTTTCACACCCAGCACCCACTGCTTGTGGGTTTTCACAGTGAGGACCCAGCTGTGCGCTTTTTATCTCTGGATCAAGAGATACTTTATTATTTTCTCTGTTTTCAGGGGGCAGGAAAGCTAGGATGACTGGTGCAGCAGCAGAACTGCCAAGTCAAACAGCAGGGTTTATTTGTGGACAAGTGTACCGGGGACACCCACCACCCCATTCAGAGACTCTTATTGAGAGGAAAGACTGGGGCGTTGACTACAGTGTTTGTTTGTGGTGCCTGTAAGTACGGTTTTATTGGGGGAAAGAGGAAAAACAAGAGAAGAAGAGCAAGCAGAAAAAGAGGATACCAGTGGTGGAAAGACTTCACAACAGGTCCTGTAGGGAAGGACAGAATAACACGAAAAGCAAAGGGAGGGATACCTACAATCATAAGACCCCCACCCCCTACCTCAGAGAGGAAATAAGACGGGATGGAAGGAAGCAGGAGGTGGAAGAAAAGGAGGCTTTCTGTGGAAGCTGGGAGCAGCAGGTCTCTGCCACCGGGATTGTCCCTCTGGTAGTCCCTGGATTTCCTAAACTGAGACAGGAGGTAGACCAGGCAGGGTGAGAGACTTAGTGGGATGGAGAAAGTGAGAGAAAAGGAGACCATGGAAGGGACATGGGAATTGAAAGAAAGGAGAAACAGGATTTATTATGCAGGCGCCGCGTTGAGTGAAAAACATCTGAATTTTCCTCCTTTACTTCTGCAATATGTGGTTTGTTTACATGAATTACTCAAAGAAGAATGTGGTGTCTGTAATTATTAGCATGTGCTCAAGGGTGGCTGTATCCGTGTCTGTATGTGTGTGTGTATAGTGGGTATTAACGTGGATAAAGATTTGGAAGAAAGCAAGGCTGTGGTTTGCTGCAGCTCATGCCAAATGGGATGAGATGAAAGTGTTGCTCACCTTCTCACAAGAAAACGATACACACACAGAGGGGTGCCAAAGGGTCGTAAAACTATTTCAGCAATGCCCTGGCTTTGTAGGCTGCATTTGAAGCATTTTTATGCTCGAATGTTGCCTCGAAAAGCTCTCAACAGGTCCCACAATCTTTTCTGAGGGAGAAAAAAGAAGGAAGAAAAGTCCTCGGGACCCTGCTGATAAAACTGTAGGAGACAACAGTGAAGCTATCCTGTGAGACTGTCCAGACAACTTTGATGTTGTCTTGTGTGTCACCATCTGTCCGCTGTAATGTATTCAAAGTGCTTTTTCAGAGCGAGCGCGGACTCAAAGGTCAGACAACAGCAGGCTTTTAAAACACCCCCTCCACTCCTATGTGCACACTCGAGCCTGAAGTCACACTGAGATAGAGAAGGTTAAAGGAAAATGGAGCAGAGGTTGTTTTGAGAAGTCATTACCTGTTATCTACTGTTGCCTTGAAGGGAAAGATAAACGCACAAATTGCTAACCAACCTTTTTGGGGGTTGCTCTTTCTGTAACAGGGACAAGCTATCACACTGCTCCTATTCTTAGGCTGCCCTGGATGTTATTTCAACTCTCTACCTCCTTCCCTTCAGTCACCTCAGGGTGCTGCAAACTCAATCCCCTCTCATCGTCTAGGGGGAGGACGGCTGAGCCCAGAGGAACCCAGCAGTGCGTGTCCCTGGTCAGGGGTCCAGCTCTTCTTTTCCCTGGCGATGAAACTCAAGTGGCTCTCAGGGAGATGTTAGCAGTGGAGGGGAAAGCTCCACCCTGAGACTCTGTGTACTGTTTTCTTTATCAAGGGCCGATTAAATGACAAGAGATAAGAAGAAAGAAAGCGCTGTATTCCCACTTGGCTTGTACGGTCTGTGTTCAAAGACACAAAGCTTTTAGGAATCAACTCGTCTGGCTGTGTCTCTCTCTGGTTTTCTTTTTTCACCTCTTCCTCTCTACCTCTCGGTCTAATCCACTTATTTCGCCCTTACGCGACAGATGGCTGTACAACGATACGTCTGGTTCTGCTCAAGGTTTGTGGCTGTTATAGTCTTTCCCTATCGCTGTTGTCTGCCTGAGCTCGGTTTACATTTGACAGTTTTTCAAAGTACTCAAATAAAACAATATGTGAAGATTTGGGGAATAGATCATCTTTGGGGAAAAGAGCTTCCAGCTTTCCGACAGATTTCCTGCTGTGGAGAAATTCACTAGGAATTGTTGTGGTTGCTATATTTGTCTCAGAGGCCGATATCACCATTATCTTTTCTAAATGAAAACAGGTTTCTCTCATCATCAGGGACAATATCAAATATTATAACGGAGTATTAGGGCCACATTAAGGAAAAAAAAAATCAAGACTTCGCAATTACTTACGGGAATAAAATCGTAATAAAGTAATTTCTTACGGGAATAAAGTTGTAATAAAATCATTACTTTCGAGAATAAAGTCGTAGATAAATCTTTTGGTGTCTCAGCATCACATTGTCAGAAATATCAGGACATATGCAAGAAATGCATCTTTTCCGCAGAAAGAACCAGGCAGACTTGTAGGGAATCGCTATTTTTGAGGAGGGGGAAATGGCTGGAAATGGCTGTGTAGAGGCTAAATCCCTCAGTGCAGCCATTTATAGCAATAGCATATGTCTTTAGTTTATTGTATGAATCTATTTGTAATAAGGTGTTGGTGCCTCTGCAGGTGTAGGTTGCTGCCAGTGTTGTGCCAGCATCAGAAACAGACGTGGTGCTCGTTGGAGCTCGGCTCCCTCTGAATCGCAAATGTTGATCATCAGTTGGATTGTTTCTTGAGAAACCAAAAAACCCTCTGAATAACCCACTGATACACCCACAGATAACTCTACAGTCTACCAGTTCCAGCCATTTGCTCCTCCACAAAAGCAGCTTTAAGACTTCATTTACTTTACGACTTTATTCTCATAAATAATTATTTTATTGCGACTTAGTTCTCATAAGAAATGATTTTACTACGACTTTATTCTCGTAAGTAATTGTAAAGTCTTTTTTTTTTTCTTAATGTGGCCCTAATACTCTGTCATAACATATAGCAAATATTAACTCACTTTTTTTTTCATTTTTTCCCAAACATCAACCTTTTTTTTATAGCTGAACAGTGATCTCAAAGTCCTTGTTTGTTGTCTTGATCACAGACGAGCTTGAGTATAACAGTCTAACTCATTGCAAATACCGCCAGCTCTCAGCAGACAGTAATATTCCACTCTAATTGCACGTGGCTGTTGGTGTTAGTGTTGGTAATTTAGAAATGTTGTTTTTTTTTTTTTGCAGTGAGGCTCATTTGCATAAATAGACGGACATATTTTGCTCCAAATAAATGGGTAATGGACTCATTTGAATGTTTGTAAATGACACTGATGCACAGATGCTATTTCCTTAATGACACTGTTTATGGAGCATTTAAACTTTTGTATATGCTTTGTGAATAAGACCATTTCTTTTTGGCTCATTGGCACAGGTTGAGTGGGCGCAAAAGCTAAACAACTCTTTCCTAAACCAGGCCTGCAGTGTGGAGATGGAGATATTTGTAGGAACAAACTAGCAGATGTTCTGCCACGCTTTCATGCACCTGACTGCCTGGTTATGCCCAATACCCATGCCAGGGTCTCTGCCAACACACACACCTAACTCAGTCTCTCCACTAAACAAATGGAGAGGAGTCACCTCCATCTGTACAACATATGCTCCTCTTTTAAGAACAAGGGTTTATTTGTCCTCTACCTTTCTTTCACACTTTTAGCTGACCAGCGTTTGTTCTTTGCTTTCTACCTTCCCCTCCATGCTACCACTCCTCTTTTCCTTTGTTCTTTCTTGCTTTCTTTGTTCTCTGTCTGTTTGCACAACTCCTAAAAACCTCATAGTTTTTCCGCAGCTCAGAGGGGAGAAGTGAGTCAAATAATAAAAAAACAAATTAAAAACGTACAAAGGGAAAGCGAACAGTGACTGAAGAAACAATTAACATTTTGTTTTCCCGATCTAATATTTGGGCTTTTCATTGTATATATTAAAGTGTGTATACTTTGAGCAGCCTCCAAAGTTGTTATTTAAAGTTAAACTGAGTGTAATATTTTCTCTTCTTTGCCAGAGTTTGGCCTTCACAGTTTGACACTTCCCTCAGTAAAATCACAGCCTGGAGCCCTTTAACTCTATCCACCACTCACATTCTCCGCTTCAGATTTAAGGAGGTATAATAGAGGAGTGATGTAGTCCACAAAGTGAGCTCTCTCGGTTCCAGCACCCTGTCATCGGCACCCACTCATGCTCAGACCAGTAAAAATCTTTAAACAAGCTAACACTTTTTCTAGCAAACAGCCAGTATTTCATGCACTTCAAGGTCAATTGCTGGAGTAAGTCTACATGTTGATAAATGACATTTAGGAAACATAAAAGATCTCTGATTTTTCATTGGTGTGTGTGTGTGCGTGTGTGTGTCGATCCCACTCTTACCCCTACCCTTTTTCAGTTTTCCCTCCAACACTCACTAATGAATTTTTGGAGAGCTGCTCTCAGATTGAGGTTCCAAGAGCATCCATGCGCCTTGCTCCTTCCAGCTTTGTTCTAATAAAACTTTTCTTTAATTACAATGAGACGTTCGCACGCATGCCTAAGATGAGATGAGAAAAAAGGTTAAAAAGAAAAGAAAAACCTGGAGTAGTAAACGATGTTGTGAGGAGTGTCAACAGTAGTTTACTCAAAAAAGGGTCTGGCTGCAAAGGAGCCAGCCTGTCAGAGTGAGTGGACCACTTCAGCTTGAGAACACCCACTCTGTCAGTCAACACATGCGTGCACACACACAAATACACTCAGAAGTATGCATATGCATGCAAGCACACAGACGCATGGAATGTTTGCATTTTCCCTCTGCTTCTCCTGCAGTGACTGACACACTCTTTCATTCGGTCCAGCACAAACTCGGGCGTCATGGTTACAGCTGCAGAGATGTTCTCCTCCCAGGAGACGGACAATATTGAAATAACAACTCCCTTAACAACACGTCCAACCACATCCCTCCCCCCCATCTTACCATACATCGTCTACCCACTCTCCTGTCTGTCATGTCTGGTGCACTTTGCCATGCGAGGGGAAACTCCTGGAGCTGGCAGTGCTATAAACAGCCTGGCAGGTGTGTTTGCTTTGCCAACTCCGTCCCCTGACTCTGCCCAAGGTCTGCTTTGGTGTTTCTCTTGGAAAAACTTTCAAGACATGGCAGGGTGCCCTGTAGGTCAAGGACCAGGAGCAGTAGCAAATAACTGGCACAGACTCAGCACCTGCAGAGACAGAGTTAGCCACCTCAGCTAGTTATCTAGGAGTAGGTATTAGTGTTCCTAAGCTTGGCATCACGCCTTAATTTGACCTCAAGTTTAGAGCAATAAAAGAACATCATGTGAGATCTAAATGGAAACTGAAGTGAGGCACAATTACGGCTGTTAAGTCCTAGTCGACTGGTCTACCTATTGAGCGATATATGCTGAGTCAACCTTGATGTTTTTCGACGTCAATTTACAGTCTATGGTTAATTTCATCAGGAGGAACGTACCAAGTGCTGATGGGGGGTGTTTCAGAACACTCCCCCTTTATTTTTCACCATTTTAGATTCGAGCCACCCACTAGAGATCGGCTGGAGACAGGAAGATTGAAGAGCATCCACGTTAATCAACCTCCGGTGGTTTGCTGAATATTTATGTTTTAGCTTTTTGTGTTTAATTTCCTTCTTGTGCTGATATCAGTATATTTTCACCCCGCCGAGCCGCGTCATCCCCTGCCCCAGAAGGGTTCGCCGTCAGAGTCTGACCCTCCCCCCAATTAGTTGATTTTTGGTCGAAAATTTTAGGGTTTTAGTCCACCAAGAATTTTTTTGGTTGAGCCCTTTATTACTTTAACAGCAAGGGGGCCTCTGAGTTTGGGAAGTCTGGTGTTGCATTATGGGCTGAGAAAAGCTTGCAAGTCTTATTATTTTCAGGGCTGAAACGGTCACAGGTTTTGGTCTAGACCCATTCCTGGATTACGCACCTTTGGCATGGAGACAGCATGGCGCTAAGCATGGCAGAAAATATGCTCGATGAAACATGTCAAAAAGCATAAAAAGATTAAACTCTTAGTAGCACTGGAGGAGGAAGAGTTTGGACTCTGGCGCTGACAGACTAAAAAAAGAAAGACTCTTTTAAAGTTACGTGCAGAAAGAAAGGCGGAAAGAAAGAAAATAGGACAATGAGACAGTGGTTCATCAGTTGTCTCATTGCATTATGACCAAAAGCCAAAATGAGTCCACAAGAATTCAAAGCAAACACAATGACCTCAGAGAGAGAGAGAGTGGGAAAGAGAAAGAGAGAGAGGGAGTCACAAGGTTGAGCTTAGAGCTTGGGTGTGATTACCCCAGTGGAAAGGTTACCTGCAGTTGAAACATTCAATATGCACGATACGGGTATAAATGATTGCAAAAACATAGCTTAATTGCTTGAGTTACGACCTAGACTTCTGACACGGGGCTCAATCAGTTGCGCAGCTGTATCGGCCTTAAGCTGCTCCACAAATCATCAGGGCCTGGATGCTGACGCTTTCCCTGCAGGATTTTCCGAAGCCCTAGTCAGGTTTCTTGATAATTAGGATCACAGAAGTGGATAAGTCGGGTGTGGTTTAAAATCGTCATGAGCTGAGTCACTGGTTGTAATCAAGTCAGCTGGTATGTGCTTTGTGAAGAATGAAGAAGTGTGTGAAATCTGTGATACACTGAGAGAAAAGTGAAACTCTGGTCCCTGTAAGAGAGGATAACTGTGACTGACAGCTCAGTCCCAGTTGTCAGGCCAGTCAGAGGTAGCCCAGGATTGTAGAAGGCGGGAGCTGGTAAGGTTAACCCCTGGTGTCTTGGACAGCTGTGGAGTTCTCGGGCTGGCTGGAGGCTGGCGGCTATAAATTCTCTCTTAAGAGGGTTTACTCGATTTTAATGGGTGCTGTAAATTTGCGGCACCCTGGCCTGGTGAAAGAGAAAGAAGTGGGGTTTTTTTAATGAAAGAAAAAGAGGGTCTCCTTCTCTCTTTCTCTCACTTCAGCTCTCACTTTCTTCCAATGTTTTTTCCCTTCCTTCTGTAAAATGTCCATGGAGTTTTGCCATGTATTTTGTGGTCTGCATTTACCTGTAGTCAGCCTGTATGGAAAATGTATGAAAATATCCGGGAAGACATAAAAACTCTGTGAAAGAACTTAAATTTCACAGACACAGAATAACAACTTTATTGTATATCTAAGTCACAGTTTTGAAACATCATCAGTGGCAACGGCGGCACAATTTCTCTCTCTTTTTGTGAGAGAAATTCCTCTTGTGCACAGAGCAGAGGGAAAGTAAGCTTACGGATGCATAACTAACAGCACCCTTCCTGTTTTGCTGTCTCTCTCTCTCTCTCTATCCCTGCAGGTGTTGTTTGCTCTGAACCAAACGCTGCTGCAGCACGAGGGTGTTCGAGCAGGTAGCCTGCAGGGCTCCTACACCACCGAGGACCTCATTACCCACTACAACTGTGGTGACCTCAGCTCCATCATCTTCAACCATGACACTTCACAGGTAAGTCTCATCATTTAGATTTCAGATAACTAACTTGCGGAAATGTTTCTTCAAGAGGTGGCTGGAGGCTATTTATGCAAGTTCCTGCAGGTTGATATGGACCTGCTACAAGACATCAGTCAATAAGTAACAAAAACAATCTATGTGAAACAGAAACCACAAAAACATATTGGTAACACTTTACTTGATGCCCATCTCTGTAACACATTATAAATATATGTATAATGTGTTATGATCACATTATAACACTATATAACTATAGTTATAAACACTCATAAATGATCATAATGCTTTATAGCAATAATTATAACACATTAAGAAGCATTTTATCATGACTTACAAGGTCAGGTATTATAATGTGTTTTAACTGTTAATAACTCACTGACAATGCCCACATAGATAATTCATTATACATGTATTTATGATGTGTTATAATTTGCTTATAAACTTGTATAACTATCATTATAAACACTCATTAATTATCATAAGGGTTTATAACAATAAGCACAACACATTATAATACCTGACCTTGTAAGTCATGATTAAATCTTTTACAATGTGTTATGATTATTGCTATAAAGCATTATGATCACTTATGAGTGTTTATAACTATAGTTATACAGTGCTATAACATGATCATAACGCAATATACATAATGCGTTATAGAGATAGGCGTTGAGTAAAGTGTTACCAACATATTATTCTAAAATGTTATAATGCCATGCGATGCACACAAAATACCAGCAACTTGCAGTCTTATTCAAAAAACATCTGCACAAGTATTCAAGAGCCCAAATCTGTCAGACCCTCGATCTGAGTTGGCAAACCTCTCATACCCACTTCTCTGCCATTATGCCATCGTCACCTCAAACTTTCAGGCCTGCACATCAATTCCCTCAAACTGCTCATTGCCACCCTAATCCCTCTCAACTTCTAGTTACTTGATAGTCTGACACTTTAATAGCTCTGGACTCTGCCGTAAATACACCATCTGACCTCCCCTAACTCTAAGTTTCCTAACATAGCCTCTGCTCCTTCAGTGATGGCCTCCTCATCAATCATGCTATTCTGCGAAAAAGTACACACACATGTAAAGCAGTGAGCAGAAGCTCTCTCTCCTCTCCTCCTTCATGAACTCTTCATCACTCAAAAGCCCTCCTCATGAGTCAATTACGCTGTGTCAACCTCCCTCACTGATCATCAAGTGTCATTAATCCCAACACACCACATAACTTCAACTCACTGCTCAACTGCAGAGATTCCCCATCGTTTACACTGGGACACACAAAGTAAGAAAGTATGCACAACTTCAGACACATCACACCTCAGGTCACATGTATCCCCCTTTTTTTCTCCCTCTGTGTCTGTTTTTCTGTCTGGGGGCCATGAAGAGCTTGTTAGCCACACTTTACATGTAGTCTTTGCTACAGTTGTACCCAGTATAAGTGTTTGAAATCATACCAGTTCGCCCCTGCTCCTTGTGTCATAATAACATGTATTAACATTCCCCAGCACATGCTAGAGCAATCAAACACCTGACTGCACTCGTTGCTTCAACCGCCTGCTGATCACTGGCGAGTCTGTGAGTGAACTCCCAGAGCTATAAAAGAGCAGGTGTTTTTTTGATAGATAGGACCAAGTCCAGAGGCTCCAGTGCTCTCACAGTTTACTCTTTTCGGCACCAGAAGGTTGACCAAAGGGGATTCCAAAGCAGAGCACAGCAGGACAACGCAGAAGAACTCGTCCCAAAATACCCGTGTGAAATGTCCATGTGCTGGGCATCGACCACAAGGACCCACAGTGCCGTTTACCCAGTGTGAAATAACTGGCTAGGTTGAACTTCCACACGATACCAGTCAAAGCCTCTCAGCCAGAGCCTGCTCTGATGAGCTATCCATAACCGAGGATATTCAAGGTCATTAACCTTTTTCAGCGCAGTAACTTCAGTAGTTCTCAGAAATGGATGTTGGAGGTGATGACCTCATTTTTCTTGACATTTAACCTGAGACTAACAAAAGAAGTCAACGTGGAAGATCACTCCCTTAACTCCTCTCTGACTTACTGCTTCCCATTTAATCATGTAAGACTCTGGTGTCTCCTAAATTAAAATCCCCTTTCAGTTTGATCCATCAGTGAACCTTTTTTTCTATCTTTGCCACCTTTGCAGGGTCATTTTTGATGTGTCATATTTTCACCAACCTTAGGCTGTTATTGATAACAGTCTTGGGGTGGAAAACAAGCTGTTAATATTGAATTTATACGTAACTTTCCTTTTTTTGGTTGGGTAAATTCTAACCTAAATACTTGACTTTTTTTTACATTAAATATGACACAATTATACAACTACATTACTTCTTACATGTCAAAATATCAGTGCATGAAAATGACCAAATGGAAACATACTAAAAATGAAAAATATTGAAAAAGAAACATGAGAAAAAAGGTGACTTGAAGGCGTCTGGTCATGGAAAGTGAGTGGAAGGCAAAACCAGTAGTGAGTTAGGGAGAAACTATCTTCCTGTCAATCCAAGTTTCCTGTGTAGGTTTGGATAAAGAGCAGCTAATGGTCGTCCCTGTGATAACTTATCTGTTACACTCCCACTCTGACCCCTCTCCAACCCAACTCTTTCTCTCTCATCATAAAACACTCACGCTATCCCTCACTCATCACCCTTATGATGAAATGCTCTCCCTCCACCTCTCTGTCTTTTTAACGTAGTCATCCAACTCTCATTCTTTTGACTACTGAATCATGGACCCCCGTCAGTCCAGATGAAACTAGTTCATTGACCCTGAAAAACATAAAGACTCTACAAGAGTTCAAGAAACAGATGTCTTCATGAATTTAGCTTTTGTTCCACTCTGAAGGAACTGCGAATGAAAATAGGTAGGCTGATTTGGCTTGGGTGAATGATTTTGCTTATACCATACAAACCTTTTTGAAAGATTTGATCAGGTCTTGAATTGAACAGTGTTTGTATTGCTGGAAACTGAGAAAGTTAGATTTTGTTTTTTTGCATGCCAAGTCAGTGCTGGTGACTACTAGATTTACATAAAGCTCATTTATGGTTTATTATAATACCTGACCTTGTAAGTCATGATAAAATGCTTTATAATGTGTTATGATTATTACTATGAAGCATTATGATCATTTATGAGTGTTTATAACTATAGTAATACAGTGCTATAACGTGATTTTAGCGTATTATACATGTATTTATGGTGCATTATAGAGATAGGCATCAAATCAATTGTAACTCAAAAGGGTGGTTTATACATTTAAAGCCATAATATGAGTCAGTACACATGCAGAAAAAGCGCAAATATATGAAATGAACTTATGAGTATTGGATGTAGAGTGTTAGCAAATCACTTTTCTTCACTCAGCCCCTGATAAAGTCTTAAGCCGCGTTCAGACCAAACGCAACCTCAGCGACGTGAGCAACGACTCCCAATGCAAAGTCTATGGACAGCCGCGACCTGGCGACCTGCCGCCAGCGACGCGACGTCAGCGACCTCGCGCATGGTCACTGATGTTGCGTCGCCCAAGGTCGTGTCGCTCCCAAAGTTCAAATATTTGAACTTCGACTTTCCACGACTCCGTGCCGTGACAGCCAATCAGGGCTCTGCTGACATCGACAAACCGGCAAAGCAAGGAGGAGAAGAAGATTCATACAATGGAGGAGCAGCTAATCACTGCCGTTAGCTACCACCCAGTGCTGTATGACGTGGGGTGCGGGTTCTACCGGGAACAACCTTTGCACAACCTTTTCCCCCCTGTGTGTGGCACTTATAACAACAATGCATAGTGATGTGTTCAGTCAGTGGATCATCGCTTGATAAACATCACAAATTAAACAAATGCATTTCCATTATAGCAGTGGAGGGGGTGAGAGAACATGAGTTAGCTACAAATTTTGGTTTGAAGCTGGAGGTTGGAGAGACGCACCTTGTTCACATAAATCCCCCTATATACTCCGTACTCAGACACTATACAAAGCACACAGCTTTTCAAACTGATTTATGCACCACTTGTCAGTGTTTTACAACTGTGTCAAACTGTAGCTCATATTTAGGCATCATCTGTCTTGATCTACGCAGGAGTTTTTGTAGCTCTAGAAATAAGCTCAGATTGAACACGTCTGCAAACATGTAAAAAAGAATAAAAGACACGATCACACATCAGCATTAATATCCAAGTCAGTCTTTCTCTAGTCCATCTTTCCTTTAGTTTGTTCTGACTTAGTTTCTGACTTGTATTTGAAAGGGATCTTTGCTTTGGAAACCTGAGACTCCAAAAAAAATTTCTGCAAGTATTTATGTTATGATGTCAGGGTGCAATTAACTACATTGGGTCAAAAACGTCATTTTTGATGGTAATCCCGCCAATGAGTTTTCAGCTTCATTGACTATTTCAATATAATGAACGAAACTTTTCTCTTAAATATGTTCAGCCTAGGAAAAACAACACATGGGAAATAGTTTTGGCATTGGGATAGTACAAACAGTCCTGAGTTAAGAGTAGACATATTTATTACTGGCAGCAAATAGTGTGCCAGGGAGATGAAACAGGCCAAATCAGCATACTGGTGTAATGGGATTTTACCCATCTCCAATATTTTACTTTTTTTCCTGCATCTAAATCAAGAGTAAGAGCCAGAAAAGTCAACTGCAGGTACAGAAATACTCTGAAAAGCAGGGAATACACTAAAGGAATATAAATTTTGACTGCATGTGTAAAGGTGCGTGTTTGTTGGACAGGGAAGACCCCTGTGCCAAAGCCAGGCTACCCCACAGCCACCCCCCTTGCTCATCCTTCCAGATTAACAGCCTGTTGAATCTTCTCAAGGAGCCAAGAGTGGAGCTGAGCCAGCGTGTTCTGTCTCTTAATAAATCATAAGGCAATTAAACACACATTCACACAATAACACCGGTGGATAAACTGAACTCGTACATGCACTGGAGCCCTTGTCTTGCACCTACTTAGGCACGCACACACACAAATACACCCGTGGCACGTCATTCTCCACTCTGCGTTCATTTCAAAGCTTAGGTCCTTTTCTATGAGGCTGTCACGTCACAAACACTCCCGGTTGCCAAGTCTCACACACATTCATCAGTTTGTCACCAACATCCCCGTTTAGTCCTCCTCTTTCATCTTTTTTTTCCTCTCTGTTTCTTTAAAGCCAGCACTTTCTTCCTGTATTTGATGTATGCTTAAAATAAATCATCAATGTTTTATTCATCCGTTTAAACTGAACCCCAAAGGTTTTTAAAGCCTAATTTTCTGTCCTCCTTTCCCCCTTTCAGCTGCCCCACTTCATCAACAGCTCCCTGCCAGCTCACGACCGCACGACAGCGCTGCAGATTGACAGCTACTTCCGCCAAGAGCTCATATACAAACGCAATGAGCGCATGGCTCGCCGTGTGTCAGCTTTGCTTCAGAGAAACCCGAACCAGACGTACTTTTTCGCTTTTGGCGCAGGTAAGAACTCTCAGATACTTCGTGGTGATATTTAGGTTCAATTTCTCCTCCCTCAGCCACAGCAGTTGACCTTTGGCCTGCTGGTTAGGAGATGTCTCTCCAAACTGCATACCAGAAAATAATGAGAATCCATCATGGCAGCAAGAACAAACTGAATCTCTATTTAGCTTTGAATTGTCTGTTTTTAAAAAGTCTGATTGAAGCTGAGAGGGTGTGTTTACATGCAATTGTGAAGCAAAAGAGATATCAGCTTCGCTTTGGTCTAAAACACTCTTGCTGTCAACGCAAACGTATGTTTACGGCGAACAATTTGCTCTTGATCACATTTGGAGGCAAAAATGCGAGAGAAAAGGACAATTATGGCACACAATGATTCCCAGACCTCTGGTATGAAAAAAGCTGTATGTAAACATGCGAATGGAGGCAAACACACACACACACACACACGCACACAAACACACACACACAGAAGTCTCAATTACAGCCAGCTCCAACCTCAGAAATGAAGAAACCATGAACTGTTTGTTTCAATTAGCATTCCTAGCTAATGCTGCTAATGTTTCCTGAATGGTGCAGTGTATCCTGAGGGAAGCGTGCGAGTGTGTTGAGTGAGTGTGTGTGTCAACAAACCCATGCATGTGAGTGTGTTTGCCCACAAAAAGCAGGTGGTGGGTGGGTTTCTGTGTGTCTGTTTATTGTATGACTGCAAAACTGTGTTCTTGTGAATCTGAGGGGTGGTACCGCCTCAGGGGTGTGTGTTTATATGAGTGCGTGTGCATGCATATGTGTGTGTGTGTGTGTGAGAGAGAGAGAGCGTACAAGTATGTGTTACAGTGTATAATGAAAACAGAATGCCACGGTCCTTCCTCTGGGCTCCCTCTGCTCCTTTTGCTTTTGGACAAGGCTTTTGTTACACCGTCTTATTGCTAAGTGTATGTCAGCAGGGAATGCACAAGCACAAACACACACTCAAGCATACACAAACAGTGATCAGAGCATTACAGAATTTTTGTAACTGTACATAATCAAGGATGTTGCTCTGAAGTGTATGTTGGCGTATTACTATGCAGATGATAATATGTTCTATTTATCAGTATCTTTATTTATCCTGTGTAAAAACATCAAGCCAAAAAGTTCCTGCTGTGGAGAATATCCCATTTCCTGGAGTGGCTGTCCAACTACGTAAAAAGGCCAAACTAAAAACATAAGCATCCTCTCATCTTAGTACAGCCATACTCAAATGTAGTGAAAAAACACATCAATCTTTTGCTTTTTTAGTGGCATGTTGTATATTCAGTTGATCAGATATTGTGACCTTTGTTTTGTAAAATACTGACTATCACAGTTTTACTGTTTCATGAAATTATAATTAACTGAAGTCAAGTATTGTGTTGTATTGCAGGTCACCCGGCAATTCCCACCTCCCAAACTAGAGCTGTGAAAAAATAAATATATAAATAAAAAGAGCAGAGCAAACTGAGAGGACACAGTTGCAAATCTTAGCAAGATAGAATAAAATGTGAAAATAGGATAATAAGAAAAAAGAACATGAACTAGAAAAGATTACAGAAAAAAACAAATATAAGATAATAATATAAGATATAACAGAATGAAGGAAACAACATTGAGTTAAAAGCCAGAGTAAAAAAGCAGGTCTTGAGTTCGCTATGGTTTGAATGTTGACAAAGGCAGTGCTGTGAATAAATTTGTGATCGTGTCTTATTTACGAAGTGACATTTGGAGAAACAGAAGGTATGTAACAGTTTATTTACCTGCAAACAGTCATTTGCCTTGTGCTTGTCATTTAAGACCATAAATCAGCCAAGAGGGACTCAAGTCTTGCCCGATGAAAAGGATACACTTTACTATCGAAAGCAGCCTTGTGTTTTTAAGTTGCCCTCTGTTTAATGTTAACCTGTCAGTATGTTAGTAGAATATTATCTCTCCTGTGTGTCAACCTTGTCTGGATAAACTGTGGGTGAACATGTGTCAGGTGACCACCAGGTTGTGAGTAAACAAACTGACAGCTAGTGTGAAGTGATAAGAACCATGAGAGTAAAAACCTGCTGGTTGCACAATCACATGCTTATGCTCCGGTTCATACAGCATTTGTGCACACGTATGTACACTTGAAGGAATGCAAAACACAACAACTCAGTCTAGGTAGCTTGACACGAATATGGGTCAGATTTTATGTTCTTTGGGGTGCAGAGAATTATTCAAAAATGTATTTTTCGTCAGAGAAATCTTCGAGCAAAGTAATCAATAATTGGAACTGATGAGTTTAGTGTCTTAAATGGCAAAGTTATAGGAGATAAATCTAAACCCTAGAAAACGTGACTTTAGTATCAGAAATAGCTCAGTGGAAATAAAGCTGGACTTTAATGCCACAGTTCTGTAACTAATCTATTGCGGGTCGGTTAAAATTCAAGTTATTCAAACTAAATACTTTTCTCAGTGTGTCAACCAAAAACAAAATGCAAAAGGCTTACCAAATCAGCCTTTTTAAAGTCTCTCTCTTGCTTTAATCACAAAGCTTCCTTTCTCTGGTCTATTATTTCCATCTTTTAAACGCTGACTCATGATTTTACAGTCCTGTAACTGTCCCTGCCGGTTCCAGTTTCCCATCGGCCGTAACCAGCCATGAAATTTTTATCATCCAATGATGCCAGGATGTATTAAGTGACGGCCTGGACCAGCAGAAATCTCTCTGTGTACTTTAGCATATTACAGAAATTATGGTGGAAGTGGTCAGGCTTGCTTTGGAAAAGGATTTTTAGCTTTTAGTCTGATTACAATCTCACTGCAAACCATACTTTGAGTAATGAAGAGAGAAGGCGATAAAGGTGTGAGAGTTAGGATTGTCCAGATATCTCTGAGAATAAATTCAGCCTTCGAGGAACGTAAAACAGGCGTTTTCAGAACAGCTGTGGGTGTATAATAATGTGATCACATAAAATCCAATCTTTATGGTGAGATCTCAAAAATCACATTAATATGACGTGTATAACTGCAGGCCATGTGCTCATAGCTCCACACATACTCGTGGGTTGTAAAATGGAATAACCAGGGACTTGTGATGGTCTTGGCACAGTTAACGCAAAAAGGCCTGTTATGATCCTCAGTTTGTGTGTGTATTTATCACAGTGTCAAGTGGTTGTCTCTGTGTTGATCAGGTTACAGACTTACCCTGCAAAAGATAAATATTACCATTTAGCTGCCCTTATCCTAGACCCCCTCAGATCAGGCCTTAACAACGTTCAGGATACAGAATCAAAGCAGAGCTGTCTGGAAAAAGTCAGGGCAGTGCTCAGGTCAAAGCCCTCTGGAGTTACTGATGTTGTAGTCCAGATCCAGTTTTTTTTTTTTTTTCACATGGTGATTAAAGTGTACAGCATGTTTTTAAAAGTGGTTTCAGCAGGAAATCCATTCCTGCCCAGCTCAGCACCTCACTTCCCAGCCTCCCCTTTTCCTCTTCTGTACACCTACACCTTCCTGTAAGGCAAGTGCTTTTATTTCTACGATATATGTCTGAGCACTTCCCTGAGTAGTTTCTTTCTCTTTTCCTTTGCTCTTCTACAGTTGTTACAGACGTTCTTTGTTTTCTTCACATTCACAAACAAGTTATTAATAGAAACCGCGGGGGTAAAATGGCTCTCGCAAACACTACTTAATAATCCTCGGCCGTATAAGATACTGAGCAACATAGCACAGGTTGGATCTTGGCCATGGTTTTATGATAGCCGTGTCTCAGAGAGGCAACCCTGTTAAACTGGGAGGTTTTCCTGGGCTCAGTAATTCAGAATAGTCTATATTATGTGGAGCTTAAAGAGGGGGTTATTATACGTTTTTTTTTTCCAGACTCTATATTATTCCTCACTGATACCTCTTTAACAGCTTTACATGATTGTCTGATCAAAAAAGCCTCATGTTTCCCACTCTGATGTATTCGAACAACCTTATTTTAGTCTCCATCTGAAATGCCTCGTTTGAGCTGCTGTCTCTTTACCTCTTTTGCAATGGTGTCATAAGTTTAGTGAGTCTCGCTATGTACCGTTCTGAGCAGTTTACATTTATTTTTTTAGATTATGTCAAACATTTGTTTACCTCATGATTTGAAAGTTTACATATGTCTAGTATGGACACCAAACATTGTAACTTTGTACTTTTTGTTGTAAATGTGGAAAAGCATAATATCAGAAGTAATCACTGGTTTGTTTATCCTGATAACTTTTACTCTATCAAAAATCCAAATCCAAATGTATCATTATTACAAAAAAACATATTTAATTTGATATAAATAACACATAGTATGAAATACATGAAAATTAAATTATTTGTATAATCGAATATATGATACAATTTTGCATTATTTTCAAACACAGTTTATAAAAGACTTCTCTTGCTGCAAAGAATGGTGTTGTTATTTTCATAGTTATGTATTATGTTAAATTTGTTGTCTCTTCTTATAACTGTCAACTTAAGCAGCTGATCTGACACTGTCAGCTGCATGCAGATGTGTATAAGGCTGCTTGGCTTCATACTACATAGTGCTGAATGAAGAGGCTGTCTGAAGTCAAAGATGCAATGAAAATGTTCTTGTAGACAGGCTGCAGTAAAACTGAAATGTTTTATGTATTTGTTGTATGAAGCTGAAACTCTGACTGGCTTCTCTACACAGGAGCCAAGTTTCATCTCTTGTACACAGTACACTGATAAGTTCATCATAAAATACCACTTTAAAAAACACAAAACATCCATGAGGCTCCAGTTGAATGTCAAGTCTTATCTGTTCAGTAATCTAGATTTGTTTATGATTTAATTAGGGTGACCATACGTCCTCCTTTACCTGGACATGTCCTCTTTTTGGGGGGGCTGACTGGGGCCTTGTCTGGAAGAGTTTATAAAATCCTTCAAATGTCTGGGGTTTTGTATGGAAGTTTTGCGCTAGTGTCGCGTGGACTTTCTGAGTTAGAAGTGCATAAAAAACACTCGATCTGACCCAGAAAACTCTTAAAAGTAACTACGCGCAACTCTGTGTCCTCTTTTTGGGGATTCAGAATATGGTCACCCTAGATTTAATCACAAATATCTGATTTTGGTTCTACTTCTGTCATTCCTCTGTACTGCAACAGAATCAGTTTAAAAAGAGAGACTCTTAAATTAACACCATGACTGACTGTAGGTACTGTCAGCCTTTAGCAAATACAGACAGGGAAATGAAAGTGACAACACAGTCTGGATAAGCAGTTAGCTTGGAAGAAAGCTAACAGCTAAAGGCATATTAGGTAGCAATTATAAGTATTATTTTTTACTGCTGACTGTCAACAACTTGCCAGCCATAACAACTTTTTATGGGGGTGACTAAAAGCTGTCAGCCTAATGTTTAATCTCACAAAATAAGCACATGCTGTCTTGGTAAGTCATGTCTGTATAACAAGCAGCCAGTAAGCTAGCTCAGCACAAAAAAACAGACACAACTAAAAATGTCAGTTTCTTTCTGGTCATAATGAAGTCACTTAACAAGTATATTTTAAAACTGCTTTCTTATCCCTTCAGATTTTCCGTCTTCACTCTCTTTGTCTCCTCACAGTCGCTCACTCTGCTCTGCGGTCACTGCTGTTTACTATTACTATCAGCATTATGCAACAGGAATCATGGGCACCTATCGTAGCCTGACGTAAGCATCAGATGCGAGGCCAAGTGAGCGCATCACTGTTTCCCCTAGGACTGAGTGACACAGCAGTGCCAGATGAAAGCAGCACGCTTGCAGACATGTTGGACACACATCGGACACTTGTTCTGTTGCTATTGTAAACAGATACAAGCCTGGATTCACTTTTTTCCATCACTCGCACAACAAAAAATGCTTCTCTAGCCACTCTCTTTCTCGAGATCACATGCAGAAAATAAACATACCCTGTCAATTTTATTCATAAGTACACACAGGGGAGGGAGGAGAGGAGCGCTGCGAGGGTAGGCAGTGTTTTGTTGGAGCTCCATGGTGTGCCTCAGCAGGTTTTCATTTGTCAGTTCCCTGGCTGCTGCTGCCCAAGCTTATTGAAAACATCCCATGGAATTTCCTGACGCTGCCACGGCCTAGACACAGCCACTTTGCAGACGTACACACTCACACGTGTCTCTGTGTATGTTTGCAACATAAAGTCATATAATCTGCTGAGATATTTATCACCAAAAAGAGTAGTTACTGTCAAAAATACACATGTAGTATTGTTTGTTTTGAAGTCTAAGCCACTTTGGACTCATCTTCTGAGAGTCGAATTTTGCTCGTATGTTTGGCTCATAATAGCCCATTGTGCAGGCGGAGCAGGCCCATATGTTTTGCAGTCGCTTGTGGTGTTGTGGTGTCGAAGTGATGATTGAGGGAGAGAGCAAGCTTGGCGTGCATGTGACTCTGTCTCCGTGGCTCTTCTTCTCGTGGTGCATATCTGCTTTACTCAGCTCTTTGTTTTTCTACTGTCTGTCCTCCTGTTGTTGCCTCCAGTTCAGTCCGTCTTTGGCTCTTATTTTATCTCGATACTTGTCTCTCCGTCTTGTCTGACACTTTATCCGTCTTAAGCTGCTATCTTTCTGCTCTGTCCTATCTCTTCTTTCCATCAACTGCTGTCTCCACTTTATTAAACTGACGCCATCCCTCAGTGCTGGCTCTTCTGCCTTGCGTTGCCTCGTCTGCATAGTGCAAGAGAATGTTATGAAGGGCTACAGCCTAGGTATGACAGACAGACAGATAAATAGACAGATAGCCTATCGTTGATGCTTTCCTGCAGACACTTTGGGATTACACGTTTGTTTTGTTTTCTAACAGGAAAGCAGTTTGGCCTTCACACAGTAGTTCGCTGCAGGGTAACAGAGCTTGTGCGTCACCAAATAAAGCGTAATGCTCTTGTTCAATACAAGACGTGCTGCAGGGCCACGTTTTCCTTCCTCTCTTAAAGCCCACTAGAGTTAGAAAAAATGATACCAGGAGAACTGAACCCCTCTGATCTCCCTACAAATGCATGCTTACTTTGGTCATCATTTATTTAAATAAAAGAAGAACTGCATACGTTTCTTGAAAATATCCTTGTAAAGTTATTACAAACAGTAGCAGATACTGTGTGAATCTCTTATCTTACAAACCACTCTGTTTTTAAAATACTAGATTCTGGTCAAAACTCTTAAAAATTTGCATGAATTCGGAAGTGAAAAGGCGAGGCAAATGAAACACTTTTCACACACGCCACACATATGAATTAAATTCGCACATGCAGTGTACTACCATAGACCACCACTTTTAGATTGATGGTTAATGGCTTACTAGTCACCAACAGTTAATGAAGTCAAGAGGCAGTAAAAGAGAGCAGAAAATTACAAGGGAAATTAAAGAAGACTGTAGAGGTAGAATAGTTGTTTTTTTGTTTTTTTGTTTTTTTTTTTAATTTGCACTCGAGAAGCATTAGGTACAAATTTAAGAAAAATGGCAAAAAACATTTTTGAGAATGAAAGTCCAGTGTTGCCAAGCAAAGGCATCACCTAAAACTTTGTGTTTTTACAATGTATTAGCTTTTTTAACAAGCAAACCAACACAAAGATCAGGAAAGAGCAAGTGTTTACTACTAAGTGAGGATGCATTTCAACCCAGAAATAGTTTTTGTGTATGTGTGACAACCATAGACTGGATATACTATGGACAACTTGGTTCCGCCTTCCGCGGGTGAGCTATGCAATTTTCGTACGCCCATAGGCTGTATCAGGTGTCAATCAAAGAAAACATGAACCCCCTAAAAACTTTTTAAAAAATGGATGTACAGAAAAAAAGAGGACTCGAGTACAAAACAGTCTTGCAGTAACTACATGTCAACATCGCAGGCAGGGGGGAGAAAAAAATTATGTTCTGTGTAATAAATTTCTAAAATTTGTCCAAAGCTACACAAGGATGGCTGGCAGAGGCGGGATTTATGAGTTATTATATGAGCTAATTTCAACTTTACTCTTGACATTTCAACTTTTTGCCTGAAATTTATAACAAAAAGTAGTTATTATTCCTTAATCTGTTGCTCTGATGCGCTTCTGCAGAAAACAAACACTAAACAACCACAAATCACAACTTGACATAGGCTTTGACAGACTTAAAAAGTTACAGGGAAGAAGACCTTACAAAAAAATGCCAATATATGTTTTTAATTCATGTTAATGAGATGAATGCTGTTGCCATGGACAACTTGTAAGTATATTAAGTCAGCAATATACTGCAAAATGTATAGTTAGGTGGTGGTTATACAAATAACCAATGCAAATAAAGTCCTGAGAGAGTTGTAGAGTTGCCTCTAGTTGTAAATTAACCCTTACTTTAGCTCAGCCATGGTTTTAAAATGATCACACAAACTGACTCTGACGTATTTCTTCATCATTATTTGTAAGAATACTTTAAACCTTCGGAAATGAGCCGAATTCTTTCCACCCCCCACAACAAAGCTGACCTGATATGTTAGCACACATACCTTTTAACTACTTTAGCAACAAAATTATCCTTAATGCACTACTCATGTGCGGCTGAATGGTCTTGTTTATTGTCAGGAATGAGTTTGCATGGAAGTCACTTGCTCTGAGCTACACTGGTTAGATTCCCAGCTCTAATTAAATCAGCACAGCTCATTAGTGTGTTTAAAGATTACACACTTCATTAGCAGCTAAAAGAACATATTAAGGGCTTTTTAGAGCCAGTAACCGTAATGATACAATTCATAAACACATAGATGCCCCAGTTCTGTTTGCTTTGATCTCCTGAGCATTAACATCCCGTTACGTGCGCACTGTGAGGCTGAAGAGTACAAAGGTTTCAGGCTGAGGACCTGCAGAACTGCTGATTTCTTGCTTGGTAGTAGTTAATTGCATTCACCTGGTGTCCCAGGTGTAAATCAGACACTGATTAGATGGTGAGAATCAAAACCAGCTGGTCTCTGGGCCTGAGAAACAACTGATGTAAAACACACTCACGTTGCATATACAGTGCATACCATCTGCTACACACACTATCACATACCTACACACTTACTTTTATCTTTGGGCATAAGCCGGCTGGGCAGCATGTCTGCGTAATGTATGCCAGCAACAAACACACACTACACTGACACATGCACGCAAATATGTGTGCTCTTAAAACGCAAACAAAATGATATATTCCAATCATTTTTTATTTATCTTTTTTTCGTGGAAAGGAAATATGTGGTTAACTCTCTACCTACACACATGAAAACTCAGTGCGCTCTCTTCTTAACTGCAACTTTATCTGAAGGGTGGAGGGGCGGAAATGAATCGATGGTGCAAGAATGAGATGAGACAGATAAAGGCCGCTATGAGACAGAGCTCCATGAGGATGCCAAGGCCTCCTCTATCACTTGTGTCTGTGTGTATGTGGGTGTGTGTGTCCACAAGAAAGGAGTCTTTCTCCGCTTTATCCCAGCAGGGAGAGATGATAAAGGCTGCAGCTGACAGGAACGAAAACAAACAACGAGGATGGTTTTCAGTTCTCTCCACAGTAGGCTCAGCTCTCGTCCTCTTCTTCACCATTTTTGTATCTTTGTAATTCTCCCTTTCCTCTGCGTCGTTCCCTGGGTCTGTTTGTTTTTCCCTCACCTCGCCCACTTTCTTCACTGTTTCGCTGTCCGCCATGAGAGCTCTCCAGACTGCAGCAGTGAGCTCACACAGTCTAAATATTCAAACATGGGGAATCATCTTAAGTCTTTCAACACTGAACCTTTGAGCTCACCCTCCAGCATTTTTTTGGCGTGGACTTGTGTCAAGTCCGCCACATACAGGCGTCAGCTTCTGGGTTGGATCCCCGTTGACTCTCTTGATCTCAAACTAGAACTTGGACATGAGCAGTCCCATCAACAGCTGTCAGTCATAACACCTCTGCGCTGTGCAGGCAAACAGGAAGACATCATAGCACACACGCACACACACACACACACACACACACACACACACACACACACACACACACACACACACACACACACACACACACACACACACACACACACACACGCACACAGGCAGTGAAGTCATTTCAGAGATGAGGAATGAGTGAAAGCTATGGGAGTTTGAAGGAAAACACTCCAGGATATTCACTCTCTACAAACGCAGAGCCATCCTGAACGTCAAATAAAAAGCTTTCAAGGCAAAGGTTCAACTATTTCTGAAGAGCAGTGGGCAGTTGTTGCTTCGTCTCTGCTCTGTTAATCCAAATGCTGCTGTGAGATTTATAGAGGGATCCCAGCGCTGTAAAACTGTAAATGGAATTGCACAGCATGGTGTGGGGATGCTGGGCTTATTAAAATCTTTGTTGCATTACTCACATGTTGTTCAAGGAGAAAGCGGTGGTCGACGGGATCTGTAGGAGAAACTCCTCGCGTACTTGAATAAATGTAGACAACAGATCGTTAGCATCGCAATAAATATATGCAGATCAATCAAGAAAGCTCAGAAGAGGTCACTTTGAAAAATATTTAAAGGGAAATTCAGCTCATTTAGTTTTGGAAAGTTCATCAAGTTCATATTGCCTTAAGGGGTCGTATTTGTTTAAAAATAAAAAAAGGAGGAAATTACCCAAAGGCCTGTTTGTGTTTGGATGCTCAATGAACATAATAGAGAACAGAGAGCAGAGGTCATACAGGCATCAAAACAGAAAATAATGAGCCTTTAAGAGACAGCAGCTAATACAGGCAACAAGAGGAAAGGAAAAGGGACACTTATGAATAGATAGGTGATAGTGAGCCTGTCACTTTGTCCCTACATGGTAAGTGCTTTACAGGTGTTTAAATCAGTGTTTCACTTGCTGAGTTTTTCTATTTTTAGCTAGCTTACTTTAATAGTGTGGCTGCGATTAGTTTTTTTGCCAAGGGGTTTGTGGGTTTCTTGTATGATACATTTTGCCCAGTATCTAACATGGCTGTCAGATTTTCAGGAAACCAACTTTGAACGAATATGAAATATGACCTGCAGGTATTTGGATAAATTTGAATTTTACAGTCTTATCGGTGTTGGCCTTTTCAAAAGCCTCTGGCAAGGGGCCTGCCGTCCTCTGCTGGATTATATGACATGCTACTTCAGGCAGTCTGATGTGTTGGTAAACTGTATTATTATGAGTTTTAACAACTCAGTTTTGGTTAGTATCGATTTTGGCTGCCCACGGTGGAAAAAGAAGTCTTGGCTTTTTTGTCCTCCAAATGCTTATGTTTATATACATGGTGATGTTTGACAGTCAAAATGTATCATTTATTGTGAATATATTATGTGGAAATTATCAATAACTGGGGTGTTTCTTCAGCTGCTTGGCTTACACTTACTCTCCGACACTGTTTTAGACATTGAAAATGACTGTATAAGAACCATCATTCTTGTCCCTGATGGTCTTGTTTGCTTTGGGATATCATGAGAAGGCATCAATACGAATTTCAGTTTCATAAACATTAAGAAACTCCTTATAGAAGCTTTGGAAATCAAGTTTTCTCATTTTTGAGATGCATATGTATGATAGTCAAGATAAACTGACCATATTATCCATTATTTTACACCTCTGCTTGTTTTTTTTTTTTATTGGCAAGTCCATGAAATCAGTACCACCCACATCTACACATAGTATCCTCCTTATTTCAGTCTCATTGTATATTGTTTCAGCTTGTTAAGAATTCCAGTGCAGGCTTACATAGATACCGTTGTTAAGATCAGATAAACTCCACCAAACTGAGGTGTTCAATAGTTTCTCCATTAGAACCAACAGGTCGGGAGAAATGTGTTAATTCCTCAAGCGGAGTACAGAGACTTGTAGAATCATGCATAGAGACTGTTCTGGTGGCCCATCTTACATGTTAGTTTTTCCTTCAATCTTTCACCCACTTGACATTTACACAGACATTCACAAATGCATGTAGATGAGAGGAATTTTCTCCATCATCTCAGCCTGCTTATATACACCCTGGCACATACTTCTAAACACTCCTAAAGAGGCACACACCCTCATCAACTATAAAGTGGAAGGATTATGATTTTATTTTTCCATCTATATTCACTTACTTTCTTTCTTTCTCCTCGCCTTCTCGTCACTCTGTCATCTTTTGTCACTTTTGCTCCAATGACTGGGGAAAACAGCTTGTGTTTGTTTTGAGCACGGTGTAGCAACAGTACCCAGCATGCATTATGGTCTGGTGGAGGGAGCAAGTCAGTGTAATTAATCTGTTATATCCTCCTCCTCCATTCACAACTAGCAATACCTCCATCCATCTGTCCTCTGTGTGCTCTTTCTTTTAATTCACCACTAAATTACCCCTTTCTAATCTCCTTCCTCTTATTTTCTCTTTTCATTTCCTTACTTTTTTGTTTGTAATTACAGTTTTTTCATGAGGTGGTCTGCTTTTAAGCTAGTGGGATTTCCTTCAACCACAAGTGTGCATCAGTTGATCCATTGTTTACTCTTAATAATGTAAAACACATTTGTTTGTGCTAAACTGAGGGAAAACACAATTCTCTTCCTGTTTTCCTTATTTTTCAGTCAATCTCCTGTGCTTAAGTGGCTCACAGCTTCCACTCCCCTCCTGCACAATGACCAGGTTTGCTCTTTGGAAGATGTCCAGGGGGATGTGGAAAGGGATGGATGAATAGATGAGGGAGACATAAACAGCTGCATGGTAAACAGAGCCTATGATCCAAAGAGGTAAATGGTCCGGAGAGGTAGCAGAAGGAAAATGCAGGCTGAAGATAGGTGGGAGTAAAGAGGTGCTGTCATGGCTGGAGTCAAGCCTGGGTGGCAACCGCAGAGACATGCAGCAACTCCTTCTTTTATAACACACACTTTGACCTTGCATGGAGAGAGAAGACATCGCCACGGCCAGAAAAAGCACAGGTGCTTTAAAATGTCATGATTAAGTCTGGGAAAGCCAGACAGATGAAGAGATAGGCCTGAGACAAGAGGTGGCCATGGTAAACACAGACAGACAGAGGGAGACAGCAGAGCACATTAAGGTGCTACTGCAAGTGGGAATAAGGATTGAGAGGTTATTAAACAGAGAAGTTACTGGGTCATTAACTCTGCTGCCAGGGGCCAAAGGAGGGGAAACACCCTGTAAGGTAGTGTGCACACTGCAGAGAGTCATGGTTGCTGTGTTGAAACTTCTAACTTTAAATTATAGTTTTTTCCTCTGAAAATGAGTTTTAAAGCCAGAGTGAGGATTTCTTTTACTTGTTATGAAACAGTCTGAAACTGATACAGCTTCACCTTTGCACTGTTTATGTTCTATGAAGGCAAGCAAGTAAGGTCATCATTTTCCTCTGGTTTTTGCTCCCAGCACAGCACTGAAACAGCCCTGCTCAGGGTCTCCAACAACTTATTGCTTGCAGCTGATTCTGGCTTGGACTCTTTACTAATTCTTTTTTTGCAGAGAAAACTAAAGCATTTGTTCAGCCTTTGATCCAGTTGACCCCTAAGTCTTAATCACCTGTCTGAAATGCTGGGTTGGATCATTTTCCTATTCCTCAAACATGTCTTTTTCTGTAGTGCTTGGAAATGCCTTCCCCCTCTCCTGCTCCTCTTTCAACTGGGATCCCTCAGGGGTCTATCTTGAGTCCTCTTTTGTTCACTGTACAAATGCTTCCCCTCTGGGCAAATCCTACATAGGCATGGTATAGACTTGCCTGCTATACAGGCGACCAATGTCTCTCACATTATGTATCCTCTTTACAATCTCTTCTTAAAACTCATTTCTATTGTTTCACTTTCTCTTATTTAGAGGCTTTATTTAGAGGGATCTCAATTATTAATGATATTTTGTGAATATATATTTGCTTGAATGTTTATTTACCTTATTCTTTGGTATATTAGATTTGTTAGGGATAAGTATTTCTAGTAATTCCCATGTTCGGGTAATCAAATTACTTTATGAGTGATTAATGGAGCCACTTTTTCTACACTGGAAAACAGCCCTTAATTCTGCTGCGCTTTCCTCATACATATTCCACTCTCATAGTCGTTGTCTGCCGTCATGGTGGCTTGTACTCCAGCCTAACAGACACCATCAGCTCACAGAAGCTTTTCCCCTCCACAAAACTTAATGGGAGGATGTCTCCCAGTCACCATTTTCATTATTAGCAGGCTAATCTCCTCTGCTCTGGTATCATCACATCACATTGTCTACTTGTGATGCCAGACTTCCTATCATTTTTTCTGCTGTCTTTGCCCAGTAATTTGAGTGCATGTGGTAAAGTACTATCAAACTAGTATTTCTATGACATAAAAGTCATAGAAATTATGTTATTTAATGTAAATATTAATAAGGTTGTTGTTGTTGTTATCAGCAACAAAATGGATTGTTTCTCTGCAGATATTTGATATTTGGTTACTGCCACCAGGGGGTAGATGTCAGAGGAAGTGTGCTTCACAAGCACAGGGTAAAATCAGCAAAATAGATACAGGCACCTTTTGTCCACAGGGGGCACCAAAATTGACACAGATTCTAATCCCTCACTGGGGTTTTAAAGAATATCCTCTTTTTTGGGTGTTGACAGCCAAGTGGTAAGAGGCTGGAAGATTGGACGAGATGTGAATGTGGTTGTTAAGTAGTTTAAACCACAATACCGCAGGTCATGTTGCTGCTTTTTTAGCCCCGGCCACAGATCTCTTTGCAGATTAATCACGGTGATGTAAGCGATGGAACATAGACAGAAGATTCTTTGTAAAACAATGGTGCAAAGTAATCACAGACATGCTTTGAGCATATGAGTCCCTGTTGGATAAAACTGAAGCAAAATTTCCAAAAACTGAGTCTCCAAGAAATCACTTTTACTTTAGTACTATCTATGTTAAGGAAAATGCAACTACCTGTAACTTTAAGGAAAGAATGATGATGTAAAGAGGTTGTTTAGGGTGAATGCCGGGAAAATGTAGAGCAGCACAGCATATGGTTGGGTTTAGGCAATAAACTTTCTTTGATTAGAGGAAGATTGTGGTTTCAATTAAGAGCGAGTAAGTAAATAAACACACCCGGTATCACGCTTCAGATCACTTTGGACTTGTTTAATACTTAACCAGGACCTCATTCTTTGCCCAACATGAGCTAAGTACAATGAGTCCAAGCCTGAACATTGCCATAAAAACATTAATTATAGGAAAAGAGGAGCTACTCACAGCTGCAGAAGATCAAATCAATGTGTGAATGGTGAATTAAATCTTTGGAATAATATTTTTCTCTGTCATTGTTAACTTTAATTGACTGTAGCCTTCTGAAGTTGCAGGATTTATTTACTATGAGTCTGTTTTTAGATGAAACAGAAAATTACAGCTTGTAGTACAAGTTTTTATCATCTGATAAAGGAATTTTGAACTTTACACTTGTGCTTGTAATAACTTTAGAGAGGTGTGTTTGTTGATAAAACATCAGCACGCAGCGGCAGCATGGTTTGTTGTGTACAACCAGTGCAGTCAGCCTACGAGTAGGGATGCACCGATCCGATATTTGTATCAGATATTGGCTCCAATATTGACAAATTAACTGGATCAGATAGCTGATGAATGACGCCAATCCAGCGTTCCAATCTACTTTAATTAATTTTTCTTTTAATACATGGCAGTCTTACTTCTTCTTGCTGTGTGCTAATGTGCTATTTGGTGTTTGTTAATAAATAATTCATATCTGTGTTAATTTGTTACCTTTTTTAAACAAGGCTAATATCAAGCCTGATGTCTTCACTCACAGGGCAAGGTATACAGAACATTAATTCAACAGTAGTATTGGATTGGTATTGGATATCGGCCGATACGTTAAGCCCAGGTATGGGTATCGAAGTGGATCTGAAAAAAAAGCGGATCGGTGCATCTCTACCTACAAGTGAAACAATCAGCAGAGGACAGATTACAAGTCAACCGATCCCTCATTAAGTCATGTCTAATTGAGCCTTTTGTTAAGGATGCCACATTGATTCCTGTCCAGATAGTCAAAACACTAACAAACCCAGCCTACCACACACATGCAGACACACACACCAACACAACCAGCTGTATGGGAAGGAGATTATCCTTTCCCCTAGCCACTTACCAGCTCAGAAACATGCCATATCAAAATCACACAAATGTGGTCAACACATAAGGTTGTCAGATGAGAAGATCTGAGAAACTGTTTTTGTTTGTTTGACACATTATGCAAACTCACAGGGAACTGTGACACCCCTCGATTTAAGGTTCAATCATGGAGGTTACCAAAACTTGAGATATTGTGGTCTTGACTCTAAGATGGACACTTTGTTTGTGTATGTTTGAGGGAGCACATGTGTTTACATGTATTTGTAGCTTTTTGCCGTTTATCCATGTCCTCTTTTAGCACCACATGAGTGTTTGCATTGTGGGCTTGTCTGTTTGTGTAAACAGTAGGTTGTTTAAGAAGTGGGTGCATGTTTACAGCATCCTGCAAACAAAAAAATGGGTATACTGACAGGAAAAACTCAGCAGATTGATTGTTTACAGGATGTCAGATTTATAGCAGGTGTGTCCAACATGTGTTTGTCTGCTGGTTGTAAAGCGAAACTACTATTTCACGGTTCAAACCCACACGCATATGCACTCTGCTCTGTGTGTGTTAGGCATGACAGCATTGGAGAGGAAATCAAGTCAGCACATTAAGCAGTCAGCTTGACCCCACACCCTGCAGAGCACACTGGAGGTGTTCTTCTCTGCTCACCGCCTGCAGAAATTAATGAAATAGTTGCTTGACACAGATATGAGGGTAGTTAAATCTGTCAGCGTTCAGTCACTGAAGGAGCTGACTTTGGCCTCATGTTTTGTGAGGAGAAAAAAATGAAATAGAAAAAATGCTGGGTGAGAATTTATTCTCAGTAGCTCAGTAGGTACTTGTTCAGTTGGACTCTTGCGACTGAGTAAATCTGAGGAGACTGTAGACTGTAGCTTAGACATGCCTGGATGCCTTTGGAGTGGTGGGTTTAGACCACTCCTACATGACATAGAGATGTTACTTTAGTGTGGCACGGAAGCATTAACGTAGATGAGATTGTTAATTATTTCAAAGAGACATCTCCTTATATCAAAAGAAGCCACTTCAGGTGGGCATCTGATCTGAAGGCATTCTTCTGGTTAGGGGACACAGAAGTTGCAGGATATCCAAAGGATCTCGTCCAGTCTGGGACCTCCATGATGGTGGTGCAAAATGTTGAACTTCTAAAGCCTCCTACAAGATGCAACTCAAACAGTGCTGGACCATACTGTTCCCATCACTACATTGTTAGACTCACACACTGCACCCTGAAACACCATAACATTGATGCCCAAGTGTGTTGTAGAAGTGCAAGAAGCATGGCATGAAAACACCCACATACAGTTCCACATACAGTAATACACATCACCCCCGTCTTTCTCCCATTATGCCTCTGTTACTACCTCTGAGTGAGCATCAGATGCTTTGCTTTACTGTAACACATAGCTGATGAAACATAACAGGGGCATAAAAAATCCGCCTTGAAATGGCAGTAGGTAAGAGCCGATTGTGAAGATATGTAACTGCAGCGTAGCGAAACAAGAACACACACCCTCCTTCACACGGACAAAAACTCACACCCTCCCCTCTGTGTAATCCCATCTGATCTTGCCCGACAACACTTTGTTGTTAGAAGCCTCTTTTCACTCTGCAGCCTATCCCAGCGCTGCCTTTGAACTCTGCTGCCAAGAAAGTGTAGAACCGCGTGCCTCTTTCTTTGACTTTCAGGAATGATCAGGAACATTATGATGATAAAAAATGGCAGGGGGTGAGAAGCTGAGTGGGTGCAGAGGGCCCTGACATAAAGCTAGCAAGAGTGAATATTGTCAGTGTGTTGTTAATAATCTTCAGAAAAAGAGGTGAGGAGTGTGAGTTTGTGAATTCCAGCATGTGTGCAAACGTTTTCATGAGTAGGTCCGAAAAATGTGCTCTTCAGTCAAGATTTGTGTCTGCGTGTGTAGCAAGGGTGATGTCAGGCTACATTACAACTTATTGCCGGGTTGACTGACGTGCAGGATTATCGGCTGATGAGAGAAATCAAGAAAAGCTTTTATCAGCGTGGGGTTGGGGCCCCCACATGTTTGATGTTAGTCTAAAGAATCATACACATGGCAGAGTTGTAGAGGGGTGGAGTGAGGGCACAAGGTTGAGTGCTGGCAATATGGAGTTATTACAGAGCATCAAGGGGGTCCGGCAGATAAAGAGCCAACATGTTTTTGAACAACTTCTGTAATCTCACAGACCCTCACAATCCTTTTTTTAAACTTCTGTGTACAGCAGGACTTCAATCCTACAATGTATTGTGATCCCTACACATTTGATTTCTGGCATATCCAGTGTTGCTCTTGGAATCTGAGCTGACTGCACAAGGATTATACTAACAGAAAGGTCAATATGTTAAGCCACAAGTAATTACAATTCATCTTGTGGGGAATTAATGGCAAGTCCTTTCAACAAACAAAAGTGAACCAACTGGAGTATCCCAGGGCTCTGTTCACGGTCCCCACCTTTTCCGTTAAACATAAGATTGTGGGTGGCTTGTTCACATCCCTGAGTGAGTAGCTACTTAAAATTCTATTTCGAGGAAACTGGCACTGGAAAAGGAATTTCTACACTACCACTGTGAACTCATTTGCAACAAACCTGGGGCTGACCGTGGATAAACTGCTGTTCTTGACAGTAAACATGGCTGCAACAACCTGCACCCTTCAGTTCTTTCTCTAGCATCATAGGATAGAACTGTTCTGCACACAGACAGCAGGGACCGGTTCCCATTCAGGCTCTTGTTGTCTTTTTCCTAGACGAATGGAACACTCTCCCAACACGTGTGTCTCCTTTATAGATTCCTAGATTTTAGGCAGGTAGATTTACTGGGCTTCAACTCTCCCAAGCTTCACCACTTCACAGCCCAGGCCCATCCTACATTATACAAGTTCTTACACACTAGCCATGGACATAAAAGACAGATTAAGAATTTGTGTGACTTATCCAAAAGTTGTTGGTATATTGTTGTCTTTCTTCTAGTTTAAAGCGTGTCTTAACTCTGGTGTGTTTCTGCTGTTAGGTCACTTCCTTGGGAACCACAGTGTGCTGGACATCCTGAGGCAGGAGGGCTATGAGATCATCCACATGTCTCCTGATTACCAGGAGCCAGTCCCAGAGTGAGTATGCAGCAAAGACAGCTGATGACAGTGCATTTAAGAGATGGATTTGGGTGCAAATCATATGGTAAACTCCTCTAATAAGTCTAGACTTCGTTTAGCATCCCAAGTTCTAAAAAGGTTGCGAATGGCAATAGATGGTATGTTATATTTTACCTCGACAGTTAATGTGACTACTTTTTCTCAACAGGAGTTATTAGTGGAGAGTTAAGCCAGAAATCTTAAGATCCTATTAACCTGACAGGATGAGAAAAGGAGGAATGAGGTGGCTGTGACTTTTATCAAAAGATACATGATCATTAAGAACTTAAGCTTTTGGAATCGAGTTTTTGCGCAATATGAGATCTTGCTTGTAAACATTTATCACCAAAGACTACAGGAGAAAGGAGGAATGAAACAACCCTGCCAGTTAACATTCATCTAATTCTCTCTGGAGTCGAGTGAAACTCCTCAAAATTTATTGAAAAGAAATGGAAATACAGTCCAAATTGCGCCCTGCAACAAATAAAGCTCAGCAATGCAGGAATTTTTTGATACCTCATCAACTCCCTCACCTTCCTCCCTTTCCTCTCTCTCTCCCTCTCCCTCTCTTCTGTATGCCAAAGGCGTTTTGCCAGTAGTGGTTCTGCCTGTTCTCAGTCGCCACTTGGTACCATGGTCAAGATAAAAAGACATGAGTATGCAGGGTTAGTTGAGTGATTCATAGAGCAGGGAGAGGGTTTGTGCACACACAAGCTCACACAGAAGCTTGGCATTCTGCTGTATTTCCTCTAAAATCTTTATGATATGTGTCTAAATATCTCAGTGTATGCACTCCCACATCCCTTGGCAAAGAGTAGCTCCTCTCTCACCTCAGGGGTTGATCTATGGGTCTCTACAGCAGCAAGAAAAGCCATTTGAATCAGGGTAAAAATGGAAAATACAAGGCAAAACAGTGCAACATCTCCATCCATCAATTCAGTGGAGGGATTTACAAACTTCTCACTGAATGTAAGCAGTAAACACAGCGACCTCATCTCCCTACGCCCTGTTTGCACAGCTCGGGGCTTCAGCCAATGGTTCTGGTTTAAAAGCTGACAAGTGGACTGACTGACTGTGGTCACAAAACACTTGCTTATGCTGCACCCACACACAACCACATGACCACACAATAATATGTGTACACGCACGCAGACACTTTCAGCTCACTGGCACAAGGTGAAGTGAAAGAAGAGGGAAAACACCACAAGATAGCTGAGCCTGAGAGGTGTTTATGAAAGCTGTTAGCCTCAGACCAGCACTGATTGCTAAAAGGTCTTTATGACTGAGTATATGACGGACCGACCGGAGGAGAGTTTGGCTCCACAGTAGCCAGACCACAGGCCCCACAGCTATCAGCACCATGACCAGGATGGTTTTCAGGGCTGTAAAGTAGAAGTGCAGACTATCAAATTTATGATGACCAAGGCAAAAAAAAAAAGTGTAAGCAGTGGAAAAAGTTAAGATCTACCTTACCTTTGATCACACCATGTGTGGGGAAAGTGATGCCAAACTTTAGCATGCACATAGAACATCCTGTTTTATTATTTTCCTCTGCTGCTTTTTTTTTTTTTTTCATTGAACGGAGCTCACAGTAGGTTGTTTGGATGTTCCTGTAACATGAAGTCACACGCAAGCCATATTGACAGGAAAAGAACAAGAGGGAAGAAAGTATGAGTAATCGGTGGAAGAAAAAGGAGCACGGCAAATGTTTTCAAAGGAGAGGCCAGTGATTCTGGGTGGTCTGCTTTGGGCAGATGTTAGTTTAGATGAAAAAGTAAGGCCATAAGAGTTACTGCTTCCTCTGATGTTGCCTGCTGGGTATTTCTGCCACTCATATAGCATTTACAGGGCAAGGCGTCCTAATGTGGGGCTTATGTCCTTGATTGAAATTGAGAGTTGGAAATGGAAAGCGGTGGAGTGGTCGAAAACCACAAACAATAACATTCACTGGCAGCCACTTTGAAATTTCAGTCTCATGGTTTCACAGTTTTCACTCAGTGGCACAAGAAATGCTCCTTTTTCATCCATAATTGAAAAGTTTAAGTGGATACATTCGACTTCACACAGGACTGATCGGGTTAAAAACAATATTGGGGCTTTGAAATTGAGCAGACTATAAACTGACTCATTTCCTCTCTATCTGTCTTCCTGTTTCAGGTCTAAACCAGCTGTAGAACCTGCAGCAGGGTCCAGTGAGGAAAGCACAACTGCAACGTCTCCCACCAGCTGGCTGACCAGTCCACCAGAGACAGAGATTGAACTGGAGGAACCGGAGGACATGCCTGGCCTTGGAGACGAGGAACTGCCTCACATGTTGCTCCCTGACAGCCTCAGCCAGCTGGAGGAATTCGGCCGACACAAACGCCCTCGCAAAGCTCACCGAAGCAACCACGGGAGACCCCGCCTCTTCAGCGACCTGTGGGTTCGCATCGGGGACAGGTGAGAAATCCAAAATCAGCTCACTTCAGCGCTTTAATTTAACGTAGGCTAGAGTCAAACTGAAAAAGTTTGCAACTGAGTCGTACTTTATACTCCCTATCAGAGGAATCCAGTTTGGAGCAGTGGTCAGTATTGATGTTGGCCCAGATAACCTGGTTAAATGAAGGATTTACAGATCTGGTCCTGAGCTTCTCTCACAGATGCAGCCTCATTTGGGACATCCAGACAGTATTAGTCATGTTTGATTAAAATCTGTGTGACAATGCCAAATATGCTCTCTCCAGAAACGCCTGTAAATCAGTGCTACGTGGGGAGACGCGTTACGAGCAGGAAGAGGAAAAAGCTTCATTACACGCAAAGAGATCTCACTGGTCACACAGCAGTTGTAAGGATTCATTATCGCCCTCGCCCACTTGTCCTAGTTGGTTTTCCAGACGTTTGGAAAACCTCCAGCATTTGGTTCTCATTGAACAAAAGCACAAGTGTCGAGAACTTTTATTTTTTTACCAATATAGAGCTTAACTTCAGTCGCACTCAACCTCTGTCGTATACATCTTCTCTTTTATGACACAATGTGAGATTATAAAGGATGATACTTGGAAGATTGTTGTGATAATATCCCACAGTGAGAGAAGCATCATTGTTTCAGCACTTCTCTTATTAGAGTTGCTGTTTTATTACTGATCAGTACTGGCTTTTATTTAAAGTTAGATTTGTTTTTTTGGCTTCTGTGGCACTTGTGCGAGAAAGGACCAAAACATGTCTAGGCACTCTTTTGGGTGTAGGATTCAAACCACCAGGTTATGATGGGTAATTATGTGTCATTACAAACAGCCATAGAAGCCTAATTTAGATGCTGTAATGTAATTTTCTTGAAAATAATGATATTCTTAGATCCTCTGCCTTGTCTAATTAACAGAGTAAATCAAACATATTAAGTTGCAAGAGGAAATACACACATTTGACAAGATGTTGCTTGTTAAATTCTGATTTCTGGTGTTGTCTCTGTCTACTCTAGCACCACTCCACCACCTAATGTGAGGATAATCAATGGTTATGTGACGGTGGAGACCCCGCTGACCCATCAAGAGCAGCGCAGACATATGGAGACCTTCGCCATGGAGCATCACCCCAATCAAGCATCCTTCACTCCACCTAAACCCAGCTCAGCTCAGCCCTCCTCAGCCCACAGCTCACTCTCAATATCATGTATTTTAGCCTGGCTGCTTTCACACATGCTGTTTACCTCCTGACCCAAAGACATCATTATCTCACTGACAAAGACTCAAGGCACTTCTGTCTCTGGACCAGATCAGTAAAAATGTACCTGAAAAGACCATCAGCGCATACACAGAGAGATGGAGGAAACTTTCTGCTGAAAACAGCGTTTTGAAGCAGAGCTGCCGAACATCACCTAAAGAATTGGATCTGCTCCAGTCTGCAGACAGTCTTTAGAGAGGGTCTCAAAATGTGTGGAGTAAGCTCACGGCTATGACACAAACACAGATAAAGTGTGTGAGACCCGGATTAATCAAACCTCATGAAAGTATTAAAGTAGAATGACAAAGACAGTGAAGACTTTGAGGAGTTTGTGTGGTGGAAACTTCTACCTACTAAAACCTGTACAACTGTAGAAACATGAGACTGACATTAAAATAATAATAGAACATACTAATTATAACTCAGTGATAAATGAGTTGAATGCATACTGTCAGCAGTACTGTGGAGGAGATGGAGCACTCACTTGCCACTATTGTAAATTGTGCATTTTGTTCATAAAAATACTGTATATTTATTATTTCTGGAAGAAAAGATTATATTTTCTTGTTTTTGAAGATAAATGAAGTAATAAAAAATGAAATAGTGGGTCAAGGATTTTTTTTTTGTCTGTCATGTAAATTCTAAATGTTTATCATTAAAGAAATTTTATTGGAAAACTAGTTACAATAAGCTCTGATAGGATAGATAAAATTGCACTATTTGATACAACTGATCTAGATTTGAACTAAATGATGCAGATTCATAAACCTGTGGTCAAATAAGCCATTTCAAAAGGTGAGATAAGTTGAGTGGCGTGTTTTGGTCTGAATTATGAATTATGAAATGGGACTTGTTTTTTAAACCAACTTATAGGTATACCTATTGTAGAAAAAAGACTATAAAAATTGTAGGGTGGTGAAATACCCATAGATGGTATGATGAAAACTTATGTGCAAAAGATTTTTCAATTGAAAAAAAACTGCAGAGGGGAAAATGTGCAACAGGTAATCTCAGTCTGCCACCTGCTGGCTAAAACTGAACACCACAAGCATTATGTCTGATTTCTTTACTATCGATTCTGCAGTCTTAACAGCCACCCCCATCATAAGATTAAGAAAAGCTAACCAATCAAGGAAATGTAACGTTTTTTTAAAACCATCTCACAGACTGTAATTTAGCAACAAATGCAGAGAAGAAGGTCTGATAAGGCACAGGTGAAGTCAGGGGGCTGCAGGATTTCCATGAGGTGATGTGACAAGTGTAAAATAAGAGGGAAACAAAGATTTTATATGTTGGTTTAACTAACAGGAACAGCAACCAACAGCTAATTCATCAACTAATCTATAGTTACTCTGCTCACGTGTGTTGTAGTTCTCATTAAATCTTTTAAAATTAATTTAAAAGTGAAATATTTGCTGTAAAGCATGTTAATAATGTAGAATGCAGAACAAATACTGTACTTTAAATCTCATAAAAAGTATACAGCCAGCTAGATGAGATGTATATGATGATGTGGGCAGTCACAGCTTTAGAGTTTAAGGTAAATAGGAGTTGTTTATCTGCTCTTAAAGTGGGCAGGTCATCCCATGATGCTCTATTTGAAATCATTAGGGGTCAAAAACAGCCTGGATGAATGGGATCAAATATAAACAAGTGTCTTAATCTGCCTTTATACTGCTTATAGGAGTTTTCAAAGTGTGGCTATCTTAAAAACTCTCAAAGTTGCAGATCAGTAGTTAGCCCTTCAACCACTAAGTGGCACTAGAGCCCCATGACTTCAGCAGCAGCAGTTTCAAAGGTACAAAGCGCGGTCTGCAAGCAACTGTTTAAAGGCCTCAGAGCCAAAGCCTGACAAAGAGAGAGGCTCTGCTTTTTGATACAGAGTTAATAACAAATATCTGAATGAAGCAATTTCACCAAAAAATTACATCACAAAATGTCAAGTAATAATCACCCAATTATAAATGTCATCTCGGAAACACCCATTTGAGACTTAACCAACCAGTAAGATTCAGACTCTTCGGTAAAATAGGTCAGAGGTCAGCTCTAAAATGTAGATTAATTAACAACAACTTTTATGGAAATGTTTTTATACAATATTTTACTTTTAAATTTAACTGACAGATTTTGTGAGAGAACTGATTAAATTAACCATCATCATGAATCTTTGAGAAACTAAATCTTAAACAGTTTTTTTTTTCATGCCTTCACAATAAATCTGGATGAATGTAAAATATTTAAAGACAGCATTTTATGCTTGCATCCAACAAAAACAATAAATGTTATTCCATTTTTTATTCTGTAGGCAATACGTGAAAATGAGCAGAGCAGTTATGTCTTATTATACTCACTTCCGTAAATAAATAATATTAATATTCTTTAAAGTGTATTTGTAAAAAAGAAGGTAATTAAGATTTTATGTTAAACTAACTCTAACGCTTGGCTGTGACACGAATCAATAAAAAAAAATTTCGATACAATTCTTGAAAAGAATAAATGTTAATATTTAGAGAAAAGCTGAGTGTGTTTACCCCTTAAATATTTAACTGAAGGCGTTCACTCTTTTAGACTCCTTTTGTGTCATATAACAAATCTGAAAAGAGGAAAAATAAAACTGCAGATACAGGTCAGCTTTCTCAAAAAATAAGTCAGCATTAGAGTAAAATCTACAAAACAGTAGAGAAAAATCGACGCCTTTCAGACCAGTATTGATGATAGAATAAAGCTTGTAATCTTTGTCGTTGAGATATTAAATATTGTTTAAATTGTACCTTAACAATTATCGTTCAGGAAAGCCGTCACTCATTAAGGATCCTTTTTTTTTTTTTTTTTTTAATGCAGGAAAAAAAAAAAATTTGAGCCTGAGTTTTTTAGAGCAAACAGCTTTTTCGCCCCTTAAGCCAAGACAGGACAATATTTGCCTTAGCTAGAATACCATTTTCCCTGGACTTTGGGGTGTTGTTTGAAGGAGCGGGGGCCTTGACAGGGCGCTCTGAGAGCTGACCCTCACTCTGCCGGGGACACGTCGCCCACCGCATATAAATAAAAGATTACAGTGGAAAATCAATTTCTGAGCAAACTCATTAAAAATGCCCCTCACCTTAAATGATTCCCATTTCCTCCCATTCAACCTGTTAACGCCTAGCTGTCCCTGAGACTGACCCCCCCTCTACCCCCACCCAACACCCAGCCCTCCCCTCCATCCTTCCTCTGCCCTGTTGCTCTCCCCCCGGTGGTAATTACTTGCACAAGTCGTTTTTTGCCCTTTGATTTGCACCGTTTCACAAATGAAGGTTAAGTTTGTTTAACCGTGCTGGATTTGTCAGTCATGTTAAAGCATATAATGTGGCAGGTCCTTGGTTTCTCCACACACATCCAGCACCCCCGTCTCCTTCCCTGCTGGTCTGAGCCTCTCGGGGAGGAAAGGGGGGTTGAGGCTCCAAGGTTAAGGCTTACTGGGCCTGCAGTGGATCAGGCTCTAGATCCATTGACTTGACTAAAAAGGGGACCAGGAAGTAGTTAAAAATCACCTCTGGTAAAAGGCTTAAGAATCAAACTGCTGTGTTTGCCTTGAGAGGATGTTATGGCACTTTCAGAAAGTCACTTAAACGATTAGGAGGAAGACATAGGTGCGAGATAAGAGATCATTTGTTAACTTTTCTTCAAGGTCTTAGGCCTGGAAGCCACCTTTATTGACATATGCCATTTATCTTCTCCTACACAACGTACACAACAGATGTGGCATAGTGCCGAAAGAGGAAAAAGTGCACAATGGGGAAAGAAATACAAGAGCTGTAGTGTTTTCACATTTGAGCGCTGCAGCCTCATCTTTGATCGATACCTCCCAGAGAGTGAAAGTCACAGCAGCCAAGGTGAACATCGATCTGAGGCAGCTGGAGCCGTTAAGAGCATTTCAAGTGTGTCCCGCTTTGATTGTCGAGCTGCAGCCCGCACACCAATCGTAGCAATAACACACCCGAGGAGTTTGTTCTCCCACAGCCACAACGTAACGGGCAAGTTTTGCATTCACAGCAAAACATTGTTTTCTCTCATTTCATCAGATCTGTTTCAGAAACTCATGAATGAGCTGAAAGCCGCACAGAGACAATAACTTAGTGTGGTTGTTTCCTGAGGATGTTTACAATATGTCATATTTAAACACTGGATCTGTAATTGTGAGCGACAATGAGCGGCTGTCAAACCCTAACTATGTCTTAAATGTTACCACACATTTCACAGACAGCTGTGATTCTGCATCTCGTTGAGGGAAGTCATAAAGCTTTGGGAAAACAAAAGTGTGTTTAGCTCCGGGCAGATAGCTCCTCTCTCTTTAGATAATCCTGCTGATAGTAAGAGGCAGAGCGGCGCTTTTTTTGTGAGCTCTGCAAACTCACAGCTCATCTTTGTTTGAGCTGGTTGAGACATTATAGTCTGACATTGTCCTGGACCCCTTGAAGATGTGTGGCTTTGAGCTGTAGGATTGAGCCAAATGGCCTTGTGATGCTTTAACACAGGTCAGGTGCAAGTCTTAGAGACAATGTAGTGTCTGGTGGAGGTATATCCTGAATCTGTGTGTTATTTCACAATGTGTGGATTTGATTTTGATGTTTGAATTTACTGAGTTAATGCGTACCATGTTTTCATAAAAATATGAAAAAAGTGGCAATTTTTATTTTACTTTTATTTATCTCTCTTATATGATGGATTCTAGGTCTGCAAAACTGGATGAATTAAAGGATTAATAGAGTTTAAAGAATTTAATTACTGAACAATTGATGATCTAATTGAATGTTGTCGAGTTTGTTCACACAAAATCTACAAAAAAATAGCAAGTTTCAGCATCTTTAATGTATAGATTCCAAACTTTCGATCATTTTTTAAAGGAAAAGTTTTGGTTTTAAACTGTTGAGTTGACAAAAAAATAAAACAAAAGTGTTGCTTTGTGATATCCGATATTGAATCAAAAGCTTCCAAAACTTTCTGACACTTCACT